CCTGTCTGCCTGCCTGCCTGCCTGCCTGCCTGTCTGTCTGTCTGCCTGTCTGTCTGCCTGTATGTCTGCCTGCCTGCCTGCCTGTCTGTCTGTCTGCCTGTCTGCCTGCCTGCCTGTCTGTCTGCCTGCCTGTCTGTCTGCCTGCCTGTCTGTCTGCCTGCCTGTCTCCCTCTCGTCAAGCAGGGCCATGCTGTTCAGCGTGCCATGTGCCCTTGCAGCCCTTACTGTCTGCCCCGAGGCTGTGTACAGAGAGGCCACGTCAGTCGTTTGAGCTCTCGGCTTGTGATTCTCGTCTCCCTCTCATGTAGGGCTTTACCTTGAGGGGCCACATCCCCAGCCCTGTCAAAGGCCCTTGCTGGCCACTGCTGTGCATAATCTTATTTTACCGCACCGGCCTCACTCTGATTGGCTCTTAGGAAATTGGTCTGTGTGGCATTAGGGGCAATTATGAGAATGTGCTCATTTGCTTGAAAGGCTCTTTCCCCAGTGCTGCCAGAACATCCCACCCCCACCTCGTATCTTCTCCCCAAGCTCTCTCTCTTTGATCATCCCGTCATTCTCTTCCTCTCCTCCTGGTGGCGCTCTGTCGCTGTGCCCAGTCAGATGATGGAGACATTAGATATTTGAAATCACAAGGAAACTCATGTCCTGCTGTAGCCCAGCGGGCCTTTTATAGACATCGCAGAGAGACGCAGCATCCGCCGCAGCCGACCGGCCTCTCTTCAGTATTCAGAGGCTGTAAGGGGGACATTAAAGACCCCATGGCACCTCTGAGTGAGATGGCCAGTCTGCCAGACGCTGCTTGGATGTTTCCTGCTAGAACCAAGATGAAAGGATAGTATAGGCTGGCGAGATCCATTAAGTGAAAGGGCTGTTTGATTATGGGATGTCTTCCATGTTAATGACATTATAGAGATGGGGTTGTCATGGAGCGTGTGTGTGTGTGTGTGTGTGTGTGTGTGTGTGTGTGTGGTGGGGGGGGGATTGTTATATATAAACATTGTGGGGACCACAATGAATTTTTCCTGTCCCCACAAGATCGTCATTGTTGGGATTAGTGTTTTGCCCATAGAATCGGATGGACGGTCTCCACGAAGATGTGAATACAAACGTGTGTGTGGGTATATGTGTGCTTGCCTGCACAGCACATTTCCTCACCTCTCGCTGTCCCCCCCCCCCCCCCCCCCCCCCCCCCCCCCAGCTCCTGGAGCCCGTCTGCCACCAGCTCTTCGAGCTCTACCGCAGCTCCGACGAGCGCCTCCGCCGCTTCACTCTGCAGTTCCTGCCCGAGCTGGTATGGGTGTACCTGCGTGCCACCGCCACCAGGGACCGCCACAGCAATGGCTGCATCGAGGCCCTGCTCCTGGGCATCTACAACCTGGTGCGTCTGCGGCACGACCCCCCCCCCCCTCAGGGGCTTGACGGTCACTGACTAACTGCTGTATGGGGGGTGATGCGTGGGCCGTTTGTATGGGACAGCTGAAACCCCGACAGATGACATTACTGATGTTCTCCAAGCCAGAAGATGAAATGTCTACCTCCCCCTCCCCCCCCTACCTTGTTTCACAGGAGATTGTGGATAAGGAGGGAAATAGCAAACTGCTGTCCTTCACGATCCCATCCCTCTCCAAGCCGTCGATTTACCACGAGGTGAGTGGGAAGCAGACATGCAGTGCCGCCTGTGTTTGTACCCCAAGCTCAGCTGCTGGAGTCCTGTGTGCATTTTGCCCGTGTGCATCTTCCTGCCCCCCCCCAGTAACCCCCCCCCTTTTCACTGTGAGTATTTTGCGCATCTGCTCAATCTGAGGGAAACGCCAAACCGGATACCCTCACTGAAGGGTTTACCTCACTGGAAACCCGTTAAGTAACCAATGGAAAGTGCCTCTGACTGGAAATGCCAACCAGCTGGGTTTCGAAACCTACTTTCTTCCTTCTAGTGACGTTAATGGCCGTAATTATAATAGGAAGTAATATTTCTCACTGACTGACAGTTTTTAAGCTGCACGCGAGTCCCTGCTTTAGTCTGTGATGCTTCCTGCATGAATGGCGGAGGTGATGAATGCTGGTGATCCCATCTCCGCGCTCGGGGGACCTCGTCCTGCCCCCACTGTCCAGCTCCCCAAGGAGCCCATGACGGCCTACAGAGATGCCTCTGACCGCCAACCCCCCCTCATCTCCCCTCTGATCTCCTCGCTCCTTCTGTCCATCCTCTCTTTTATATCCAGTGTGTTCATCCGCTTCCCCCCCCCTTCAAACCCGCATCTGTTCCTGTCGGGTTTCCGATGAGTCATCCGACTGGGGGGACATGCAGGACAGACATGGGGTGCTTCCAAACAGTAGAACAAGCATGCTTGTGTGTGTGTGTGTGTGTGTCTGTGTGTGTCTGTGTGTGTGTGTGTGTGTGTGTGTGTGTGTGGTCCAGTTAAAAAAACAGCTATTTTGACATTGTGGGGACCATTTTTTTTAGGTCCCCACAAGGGGAAAATTCAATTTTATAAAAACTGACTGCAAGCAAAAAACTAAAAATGCAGTCTTCTGTTTTGTTTGGTTGCTTACGGTTAAGGTCAGGGCTGGATAGGGGTTACGGTTGTCATTGTTGGGATTAGGTCTTAAAAATGTCCCCACAAAGATATAATTACAAACCTGTCTGCCTGTCTGTCTGGTGGATTAACTGAGGTCCAACTACACTGTTCACATACACACTCTTCGCTTTGTAAGGCTGAGAATTATTCGGGGGGGGGGGATTTCTAGACCCAGGCATCGATCGTAGTTGAATAGCACCAATTGACATCAGATTGCATCAGCATTTAGTCCCTGATGCCCATGCCGATTCCCCCCCCCACCCCTCATCCCGACTTGTAGTCTACTTCAGTGACTCAGCCCCCATTGCACGCTGGCAGCAAAGGCTGAGGGCTGTCTGTGCATCCGTCTCCCCTAGCGACAGTGCTCCCGCATGCTGGCTCAGACAATGGCTGATGATGCCCCGCCCCCCAGCCTTGCTCCGCCCCCCAGCCTTGCTCCGCCCCCCAGCCTTGCTCCGCCCCGCTAACGTACCACTGCAGATCTCGATCTGCATTCCATCTTCATCACCTCTCCATCTCAGGTTACCTGCTCTGACCAGTCTGGGTGCTGCCAGCTTCCTGAGGCACACACAGACACACACACACACACACACACACACAGGCACACACAGGGACACACACACACACACACACGTTCACCACCCCCCCCGTGTCTTTCTTGCCCCTGCATTTGTTGTGCGTGTTTGTTTCTATCAAGAAGACACCGGGTTCCTGAACTCCGCTAACATCTGTGCTGACCGAAATGGTGGGCTGGTTTTTTCCGATGGTCTGTGCGGGTTGCTAGCACTGCAGCCATCTGGTTTGGGGGGGGGGGGGGCAGTGCCTGGGAGGTGTACGCTAGGCAGGCAGGGTTAGTGTTGTGCATTGCCCCGATTGGGTGTACGCGATGATGCAATCAAACACCAGCCTCTGCAGCTAACCTTGTCTTCGTCTTTTCTCCCCCCCCACCCCCGCCCGTCCTCCAGCCGTCCAGTTTGGGCTCCATAGCACTGACAGAGGGAGCACTCAGCCACCACGACCTCATCAGGGTGGTGTACAGCGGCCTGCACCCCCAGCGTGAGACCTTCACTGCCCAGAACAGGTCTCACCCTTACACACCCTTTCTTACTTCCAAAGACTGTTCCTTGTTTTTATCCCAACTGCCTATTAATAGCTTTGCCCCCCCCAGTAAAAAAGAATCAATGACATTCTTTGGAGGCCGATTCCTTCCCTTATTTACTTCTCCAGTCTCTCCTCAATGCCGTCACTTGTCAGCAAGGCCACCCACAGGCAGCTAAATGGACTCGTCTCTCTCACATTTGTTTTCTATTCTCCTTTTTAAGTTGCTCTTGCCAGCTCTCTGGCTCTGTGTGTGTGTGTGTGTGTGTGTGTGTGTGTGTTTATCTCTTCACGTCACACACAGAAAGTCCCTCCATCTCTTTCGGCTGCTGCATTTACACCACGACAGCCGTTTCTGCTATTTTCACGCTCCGTGGGGTTTCGTCACTGCCATCGAGTGAAAGAAGATGGGTTTGTGTCACGCGTGAGATATGCTGTGACTAGATAAGCCTAAGAGATTGTAGCTGCTAAACCATTAACTAAAGGTGATGAGTTTCTGCTCTTCAGTGCATCGTGCACATGCTGACTGTTGTGCTAACCTGACCGGTCGGCGTTAATGAAATGGCAAACGACTCATGGGGAATTAGGGGTCCGGGACCTTCCTCTTTCTATTCCCTCACCAAGGACTCTCAGCAAGGGCCAGAGAGGCAGCACTAAGCCAAAGCATGCCCTTGTAGCATTCCAGGACACGTATGTCATTGGTCTGGCATCGCTCAGATTTTTCCAGATAGTGTAATCTCAAAGGTATATGATGAAATGGCCTGAGATTCTCCAAGGTAACTGCAGGTTCCTCACTGGCTGAAGGTGTTCTTTTTCCTCCTGCTTGACAGATACTTAGGTAAACCCTATATGAGATGGAAAAAAAAAATATACTTTAGGTAAACTACATTACCCAGAAGCACCTGAATCTCACAAACCACCTTTGAGTGAACTTCATTGGTAATTCTGCACAGATGGTCATTTAATACCCAGATTTTCTTTTTAATGAAGTGGTGACCTAATTGTTTTCTGTGTGGATGCAGGTTTGAGGTGCTGGCATTCCTCATGCTGTGCTACAACTCTGCTGTGGTCTACATGCCGTGCTCCTCGTACCAGTCCGTTTGCAGGATGAGCTCACGGTGAGAACATATCTTCTGCCAAAGAAGGAAATGGGCCGGGAGACCGGACTGGATTCCTAGCTGTGACTGCTGTTATACTCTTGACGTTCTTTCTTTCTCGAAATGCCTCCAGCTGTTTCAACACACCCAGGTTAAAATCTCCCCGGTGTATTAATAGCGAGACGATAATTTGGTCTCGGTCAGAGGTTGGTGATCTGGGGATTTCCGTCCCCCCCTCCCCCCCCAGAGCTCAGAAACGGGCACCTCCCCACTGAGAGCAGGCAGACAACCTTCATCCACCGTGACATCTGTACTGACATCTGTAATGTCATGTGATCAGAATATGGCCTCTGGGGCTTAGACAGAAATATCTTTCCTGTGTGAAATGACTTCCTCTCATTGTTTCATAATGACACACCTAAAATGTTCATATTTTTTCACCTTTTCTACATGTGGAAAAAAAGCCATTATGACTGTGTCCCACAGCTGAAGAGGCCAGTGCCTCAGTTTTGCAGTGTTGCCCATCCTCACTCCCTCTCGCCTCCCCTGCTGCGCAGGTTGTGCGTGTGCGGGTTTCCAAGGCAACGGCAGAAGCTGTGGAGGGAACCGTGCGGCCGAGTAGTGCTGGACCCCGAGTTCATGGTGCAGATGCTTACCGCTGTCTATCACGCTATGTGAGTCTCCTATTGGCCGATTCTGGTCCCGCCTGCCATCCAGCAACCTGTTTGTCGTTGTTTTTGGTTTTTGTTGCATCACAAGGCATGGCATTCGAGGCAAGATTTTACTTTTCTCCCTATATTCAAGACCTCAAATTGGGTGATTTACAATAAATTGTCCCAAGTTACCTGAGCTTTAACAGGGAAACTGAAAACTGGACATGCATGTTCAGGCACATCAGGACACCATCAGCTTCCTCCATCCATCTCCAGAATGGAGAGGAATGCACCACATTGTCTGCCACAGGATTAGATTTGCATGGCAGCATGGGAGTAGAAGTTTGTTTACGTGTGGGAAGTCGATGCAAAGGAGATTAGGGCAGGCAGCTGTGGTGGGGGGGGCCGGGTGTTTTGTCTTGGGTTTTGTGGAATTTTACCAGAGGTCCTGCTTGGCCTTCCCCTTGGAGAGTCCCTAGTGAAAGAACAGGGGATTCACATGGGACTGAATCTAAGACATAATCAAACGAGTGCCTATCACTGTGTTAAAGTTGCGCCCGTGTGCATTTGCACCCCCTCTTATGTCGTTCCCTTGGTATCCAGATACAATGGAGAGTGGGATCTGGGGAAGGAGGCCCTGGATGACATTCTGTACCGGGCTCAGCTGGAGCTGTACTCCCAGCCGCTGCTGGTAAGGTGCCTGGATCACGCCACGACGCCCGCGGGAGAGACAGAGGTGCCATGCCAGTGGCTACTGGGCCTGGCCTGACCCCCATTCCTCCCGTGCCCCATCGCAGGTGGCCAATGCGATGAAGAGCTCGCTGCCCGCCACCGCGCCGGACGGCTCACGCGGCCGTAAGATCCTGCAGGTGGAGGTGACGCCTACCATCAGCCGGATCTCCCGCTCGGCCGTGACGGCGGCTTCAATACGGCGCCACCGCTGGAAGCGAGAGGGTAAGAGTGCCAATCTGTGCCACTCAGGTGCCAACCCCCCCCCCACGCCACCGTTCTCAGCACATCCGCAGTGCTGCCACCCCACACGCTGCCCCCGCAGGACGAGGTGGGTATGACAAGTGAAGAGACCAGGGGACGCATCGTCTGAGCTTCATGCTGTGGACGACCTACATTGTGGCAGCAGACGAATGAGCGAATCAGTAGATTTATATGAAAAAAATATATCTGAATGTATAAATGCCAACAATTTTGGTCTGATAAACCAGGCGAAAATGTAAAAGAGGTTTTTCAGTCAGCAGGACCCCCAATGTTGCTGTCACATGGATGTGTGGTGTTTGTCCTCGCCGTGTCACACGGTGTCTCGTTCTGTTTGTGTAACGTTTCTGTTGGTCGCTTGGGCTCTTTCTCCCCCCTCTGCTCCTGCTTCTCCTAATGCGTACAGATGGAGGGGGGGAGGGGGCCCCCACTCGCTTACGAATGGCATGTCCGCCTCGGGCACTAAGGCCCATGTCCTGTCCGGTTCTGTTGTGTTGACTCCCAGATTGTTTTGACCTCTCAAACGAGACGGAGTTCAGCATCTCCGTCACCCCCAGCCTCGACATCCCCTGGGAGCCGTCAGCCAATCCGGAGCAAGGAGAGAGGGGGAGTCACGGCGTGCCCCCGCTCACGCCTGAGGGTAGGCAGGAAGGGGGGAAGCTGTGATTGGTGGGGGACTATTGTTAGGATTGGCTCCTGTCCCCCCAGATGCCCCCTCCCCCGCTACCGTTACTCTCCCAGAGCATCACTAACTCCTCCAGATTCCCCATGCAAAAACTCACAAAATACAGCCCCCCTTTACCCCCCTTTTAAACACTTGCTGCTATCCCAGGTCCCAATGTCCTCTTAGCAGAAGGGTAAGTAGCGTGTTTCTGGGTGTGGTGTGGGGGCAGAGGGGAATGCTTGCATGAGTCCACAGTTTCTCCCAAGCGCATGTCCCTTCATTCTTTGGGAGCTCCACCCATATGCCTCACTGAGCGTGCTCCAGACACTTGGTCCTTGTGATTGGAAACCCTGTGGTACAGACCCAGCCAATCACAGCACGACAGACCTTTATTGTCACTGAAATCTTGCACGATCAGTTTTTCTCTGTATATTTTTTCTTCTGAGCTTTCGCAGTACCTAGCTCTATGATTGATTAGATAGTCGAAGGACTCCAGTGGTTGATGTATAGCCCCTTGAACGCAATCCCAGTTTCGGCACTCTGAGCGTCACTGGAACTATGTTACCTGCCAGTTTGTTTCGCAGCAGTGAAATGAACACGTCACTGGTCCGCAGTGCAATGGCAGGCAGTTATGGAAGCGCCCCCTACAGACAGGGCAGTCGTCAGCAGTGATGTGGCGCTCTTCTTGTTGGTCGTAGATGTGACACACATTGTGATGGCCATGAGTTCAGTGTCATGCAAAACAGGAAAAGCCAATCTGGGACCAACAAGTGAATTCGACCACAAGGCGATTAATATGCAGCTGGATGTTTGGCCAAAAATGGGAGCCTGCAAATGCATAACGACTTCGATTTCAAAACCTCTAAAGTGTTGAAAAGTGAACGCCGATAGTCAAGACGTTAGTCTATGAAGAAACACCACCCACTGTCTGTATACAGACAGTCTGTATATCAGTGGTACCACCACTGATAGAGAAACCACAACCTAGCGTATGTTGCTGAGGCTGTACCACCTGCAATGAGTGTCCAAAACACCCCCCCCCTCATTGTCTGTCCAGAGATCACCCACAAATTCCACACACAACCATGACAAGCATGAACCCCACTCAAACCAGTCAGACTTCCTTTAATCAGTCTGTTTATCTTGGGGTAATTGCAATCAGCGTGCTCAGTGACTTAACTCCACCGCCAACCTGACCGCTTCTTACGCGTGCACATTTGATCCAAGAGGAAGGAGACTCCCCCCCCAAATCTGGAGATACTGGAGGACGCCGTCCACTCCAGTGCACCATCATCCACATTCTCCGCCTTTTCCATTCTGCATTCAGTGTCAGAATAGGTGCCTGTTGTCCTGAGAAGAGTACCCCCCCCCCCCACACACACACACACACACACACAGCAAGGGATACAGAGTCTCGGTAACGGGTTAGTCGGACTACATGAGGTCCGGTTTCACCAGTGAAAAGTGAAATTTGTCTGCCGGTTAGATTAGAACGAGCAATTGGGTGCCTCAGTAATGTAATGGTCACTCTTGGGGGAATTTCGGGGTCACCTGGGCCTTTCGGGAGCCGCAGAAGGCGTGTGGGCGTCTTGCCATCCCTGGATTGGGCAGTGGGCACTGCTTCTGGAGAGAGCAGGGTGCCATCTCCACCTTGGTAAGCCAGGTGGAATGTAATGAGATGCGGCAGGTATTCTCACACCCTGTGTTCGACCCCCCATGTTCACGTTGAGTCATGCCTGTTGGCTTTTTCGGGGGGGGCATTTTACCTGGTACTGCAGGTATTGTGTGTAAGCTCGTTGATGCCTCATCACATAGGGGTTTCTGGCTTAGTACCTACGACATTTGATCATTTAACCAGCACAGAAGTGACATTCGATCAACACGTCACACCCAGACGAAGGGAGGGTTTAAAGAGCAGTCGCCTTAGTGCCGTCGTCAAGCCGCTGATCCGGTCTGGCCGGTTGTTAGAGGATATCGATGTCTGTCAGCTGTTTCTGTAGAATACGTACCCACTGGCTGGGTTCTGTCACGAAAAGCCCTCCATCCCGTGCACTGCGCCCCCTGTCTGTTGGGCTGTCTTCTCCTGAGCCTGCCGTCCTCCTCTCTTTCCTTGCCCATCTCCTGTCGCCATTTCCCTCAGCATCTGTCCCCTGCCTGTCTGCTGGTCCGCCTCAGGGAAGGCCTATAGTCTGCTGGCCTGGATTCTCCCTCTCAGTGCTGCATGAGTGAGCACATTTTTCCCTTTAGGTTCTGTTGATGGCATCAAACTGACCATTTCCCCCGCTAGAGTCCATTTCTGCTTCTTTTATTTCGTTTGCCGCTTTCAGACTGAGATTTGAGGAGCGGATTTCTTTAAACACTTGTCTGCCTGTCTGTGTTTAATGTATTTCCTGTCTGTGTGTGGGTATGTGTATGTGTGTGTTTGATGTGCACAATTTATGTAACATTTGTTTTCTCAACTCTCAGGGATTATATCATGTTCCTTAAACACGTATCCAATTTTTTTTAAACAGTGAATAAGGGGATTATTTTATCTATTACTCATTTTTCATTTCCTCTTTCTATAAAGCTTTATAAGGTCTATTTACTAATAAATCGAAAGTGTTTTGCCTGTAGAATATAGTTTTTTGACATTTGAGCTTTGTACACCTAATTTAAGCCTGATGTAGGAAAATCAGAATGAGTGGAATCGATCACAGAAACCCAAAAACTATCAGAGCTTGACCCTGCTCTAGTTGCGGTGGGGATACAGGGTCAATGTTTTTGAGAGGCGCAGCGACAAACTCACCAGTTGCAATGCCCTCCTCATTTTGCATGTGCGGTTCTGATATCTGTCCCCAAATCAAATGGGCAGGTGTCCGAGAAGGGAGGCAGAAGGGACCATAATTGCGGGTGCGTTCACCTCCACTAAAGAAGCAAGGCTGCCGTACAGGCTTCTGCCTTCTCTCACCTTACCATCATCTGTTTCTTCTTTGGTAATTTGTCCCCTGCTAGAGAGAGGCGGGCGCTCTGCTTACAATTGATATTTCTCGCTGGATAACATCATTAAGGAGTGAGTTTTCAGCTCTGCTGGGAGAGCTGGCACAGCGAAGTCTGTGACCCCGTGAGTCAGCCGGACTTGGGGTTCTGAAAATAAAAAGAGCTCAGCTTGTGATCTGCCTGACCTTGTCTGAGCAGGGAGTGTGTTGGTGACAGGAGGCTCAAATATCCACGGTTCACATCACGCAGAGCGGCTCGTACCAGCGTGAGAGCTGACAAACTCAAACGATCTCTGGAGAGTCTCCCCAAGTGCCCCGTGTAGGATGTAGCTTGAGTTGTTGAATATCACCATGGAGATTATTCCAGAAGCTTCTTCCGGGTCTTAGCGGTCATTCCTGGCGCGCCTTAATGACCCGTACAGACCTCATTGTCTCCCCCGCCGTCTCCAGCCCTCACACTCCCCCCCTCCCTCATTCTCTTCTCGCTCCCCGTTTCTCCTACATCAGCAGATGCGGATGGAGTAAGCGGCGGTGAGGAGTCCTTCACCCTGAACGACCCAGATGAGGGCTTCTCCTCCGGCGCGTCCAACAGCAGCCAGCCCAGTGGGACCAAGCTGAGCGGCGAGGGCGGGGCCACACGCAGCAGCAGCCTGAAGAAGGGCGTCACGGGATGGCTGTCCCGGGAGCGGGACAAGGAGCCGGGTCAGACGCGGCACAGGGACTCCTCTGCTGACTCACAGGTGGTGCTGCGGAGACACCAGCGGCGACCGTCACCCCCACCCGCCATCACGCTGGATGCCATCGAGCTGAGCCCAGTGCGGAAGCACCTGAGCTACCCCGCCTCGCAGGCATTGGTGCGGACCGCCAGTGCTTCCTCCAGCCGCTCCTTCGACTGCACGGACATGAGCTTGAACGGGGGCCGGCGTGGCGCTGCGGGGGCGGGACTGGAGGTGGGGCTGCTGGGCAGCACCCAGGCGGGGCTCTCTGCCAGCGTTGCCCATCATTTTTCCACCAGCAGTCTGCAAGAGGAGCGCCTGGCCAGACCTGGGGAAGCCCAGGACCTTCTGTCCCCGGGGGCTCCACTCACCAAGCAGTCTCGCTCGCCCAGCTTCAACATGCAGATCATTTCGCAGGTTTAGCAGTGAGGGGGCGGAGCTGGGGACAGGGGGAGGGGCCAGAGGGAGGGGCTATGCTCCGGTCCTCCCTTTTCTCCTACTCCTCCTGCTCCTACTCCTCCTTTTGTTCCTCCTGTTCCTCTGCTCTTCCTTGCCCTGTGGTGCCCAAGATCAGATCCACTCCACCTGCAGAAACTCAGGAGCTGACAGCAAGATGGGGAGTGGAACTGACAGCTCCCTCTTGTGGGGGGAGGACATGTGTCCGGCAGCAAAGCCCAGGGATGGTCTGTGACCTACAGATGTCTTTCCTCTATATCTTGGGGCTGTGGAGGATGGGGCACAAGCCCTGTGGAGGAAGTGAGTCCCCTGGTGCAGAGTGCCCCCTGTGACCAGGAAACCATCACTTCCCAGCATCCTCTCCTTCTGACCAAATGGAGCATTTCGTGTAATTACTGTTCTTTTATTTTAATTTATTTTATGGGTTTTTTTTGAGAGGGGGAGTATTGGGGCAGGATATGGTGAAAACCACGAATAGGTGACAGAACAGAATCTGACAACTTCATTCAATGAGTCAAGTGAGCTGCGGTTGCTGTTAATCACAGGAAAACATAAATATTAGTGGATTGGAAAAGAGAAGATCACTGTAGTTTTCATGCCTTCCCTGTTTCCCCTAGGGTGATGTGCAATCTACAATCTGAATTTTATTTTTAATTCAGTGTAATTTATATGGTATCCTTTTATTGTCCTGTTCAAGACTTGCATCCCAAAGACAATGCTTCCTAGTCTTGAATCTGTTGCTGTAATAGAAAACTCGGACCAAGGGAGAGACACACTGGTTTTTTGTTTCTCAGTGCAAACTTGATTTATTTTTCGTAATTTATATGATTCATGCATAGTCGTCTAATGTATATGAGATTTTATTTTACTAAACAGAAATCTGCTGACTGTAATTCAAAGAGAACGACACAAATTGAGGACGGAGACTGGAGTTTTACCTGCCGGAAAATTCCGGGGCTGCACAATGTTTTTGACCTGAAGTGGGATCTTGCAGGATCCTCGTGTTTTTGCCAGTGGTGCAGCTGCAGAGAAATCTGGTGGGAAAAATCAGGAATTATGGAACAAAACCAAAACCACAGGTCCCGGATTTCGCCGAGATGCTGGTGACTGAGGGAGAGACAGGCACACCCAAGGAATCTTCTATGAATTGCACCCAAGAGACTGTTAGTAGCCAAATGTGTGTATGTGAGAGCGAGAGAGAGAATTTTGGTGTTTGTTTGAAGCCTTACGGTGTTTTTGAGGCAAAGGAGATTATACTGGAGGAACTTTTTCTGCCTGGCTAGTTTTGGTGTGCTCACCGAACACCTGGCAACCACAATGCGCTCACCCCCCACCACGTGCCGTATAGCCTGAGTGTTTGTCCACCTTCTGTCTTGTGGTTTTATTCTTGTGACGTTGGCGCTTTAATAGCGTGTGGCAATAGAAAACACTGCAAAGTGGCCGACAGTTTTATCCCAATGATTAGCGTTAAGATATTAGTGTGAGCTGAGTTGCTGTTTTTTTTTTTTAATTATTATTTATTTTTCATCCCCCGATGGACACCAAGCTGCAGGCCAGTAGAACCACAACCTCTGAAGCGCGTTCAGGCCGTCACTGTGGTCGCTTGTCGTCGTCTGCTGCTGTTGTAGTCTTTGCTAAATGCCATGGGGAAGTGCAGTCTTCACACAGGTGTGGTGGCATTTCCGTTTAAGGGGAAATGCTTTTACGAAACCTGTAAGAGGTCTAGCCAAGAGGCAGATAGTGCAGGATGTGGAGTTCAGGCTGGTCACGTTATCTGCGATCTGGCCTTGCCGTTCTGTCAAGGCAGCGTTTGTCCTGCAGCAGTGAGATGATCTTTGATCCCGCTTTTGCCTATTTTGTCCGTTTGATTTTTCCCACAGACCTGAGCAGACACCTAGAAAAGGGGCACTTTCTTACTTCCATCTTGGTTAGCTTTGAAGCTGAACGTGCTTCAAAGTATCACACTTGTCAGGGTGAATCCTCCAATATAGGACAAGTACAGCTCTACAGCCTGTGAATACTGTCCTGGTCGGTTGCCCTTTGCTGACTGATGTGCCGATATGGTATCCTCTTGAGAGAAACTTGAATCTTTACCTTCTTAAGATATACAGCAATGTGTTTGATATGTTTTTGTCTGGCTGTGTATGTACACTAACGTCTAAGTGGTGCTTAATGACATATTACTGTTCTGTGTGCTTGTCTGTCTGCAAGAAAGCTTAGCACCAACATTTCACATAATCCCATTTTCCGGATCACGTGTGTTAAGATTCCACACTCGTAGTCTCGTTAGGTCTGTGTTTCATTTATTGCCGATTTAGTGACATGTGTGGGAGAAAGGAGTGGATGTGACTGCGAACAGTGTCCTCAGATTTGAATATTGCTGGACATTCTCATTGACATATTGTTGAATAACACAAAACCTCACAGTAATCACGGTTTCTCTTATAATTATTGTTTGTGGACTTTTCGGTGTCCATGTTTAATATGGGTTGTATCCCTGAATGGACTTTGACAGGGACGTAGGGGGTAAACATGATTTTTTTTTTTCTGGTGAGATGTAGAACAAAGGGAGTCTCTCACACACTGCTGAGGCTTTAGTGTGGCTGCTGTCAGACCCTCCCTTCTCCTGTATGTGGCTACATAGACCGACAAGTGTTTCCCAATCCGGTCCATGGGGACCCACAGCCAGTCCACGATTTTGCTCCCTCCTGGCTTCCTGCCAGACATGTTTTTGCTACAGCGACCTGGGAGGGAGCAAAAATGTGGCCTGGCTGTGGGTCCCCGAGGACCGGTTTGGGAAACACTGCTAAGTAGCCAGTTCATCCTGTTCAAAACATCACACCTGTCTGGCCTCCTTGTAGGGATCATCTTGTCTTGTAACAGATCCATCGTGGAGGCTTCCCCTTCCCGTGACCCTGTTTGTTGATAGTGTGAGAACGAAGCCCTCCCAGAATGCACTTTGTCTGATATGGCAGTTAAATGATTAATTCAGGGTTCCGTTTCCATGTCCTTAAAACTCAAGGTCTAATCAATGACCACCGCTGACAGACCAGAAACATGGGCCAGGGTTAGAATTCATATATATTTTTTTTTACAACCAAAAAGGCTGTTTTTTGTTTTTCCTTTTGCTGCACAACCTCAGGAGGGAGTTAGGAAACGTATCTGGGCTTTGTCATGGTAAAAAATCCCAGTTATTTTATTCAGAAAATAAAACCTATTAATTCTATGCAACATTTTAAATTATTTACTGACTTTTCCTTTGGTGACTTTTTAACCATTTTGGGTCTCTGAGCTGACATTGGCAGGCATGCAGCTGCTGTACAGGAGACGCCTCGTGTTATGTGGACTGCTGGAGCCTCAAGAAGACGAAAGCGGGGGGGCGGGGGCACCTTCACAGCATTGCACTGCTGTAGCGGAAAGAGGGACAGTGTCACTTCCATCCATCTTCCCACGGCCGAGCGCTGTTGCCCTCTTCGTCATTGTGCGCCATATCCCTCTTGCGAGAGGTGCGTAGCTTTCCTCGTGCTGGTGGTGATGTCCGTCGTGAAAGACTCAAAACTCTGGTGACCCCGGAGGGTCAAACTGAGCTCATGCATGTAAAAGCCATTTCCTTTGTAGCTGTTACTCCATAATGGTTTGAAGCCATTGGCATATAAAATGAATAGAGTTAATGCATACAATCTTAAAGATTCTAGTGAACTTAAAAATGTGAAACATTGTATCATTGATGTTGTAAATGGAATAAAATTTAAATCCTTGTAAATATGAAAAAAATGTACAATATGAGACAATAAAAATCTGTCTGCAAGAGAGATATGTATCTGTAAAATGTTGAATAAATATTTGTGTTTATGGATTCTGTTCTAGTCTTTATTTGATCTATTGTAAAACTCCGAATCTTGTGGTTTTCCTGCATAAATTCGTTGGTGCTTCAAAATTAAGTCACAATTTAGTTTCTTTTCTTTGCTGAAAACTTTTTAATGGAAGGAGATAGATGTTTTTGTTAAGCATATACAAAAACCTTGCAACAACGGAGTTAGAAAATGAGTACAACACTCAGCTTTAGTAGAGCGATTTCAAGCAGTTTGCAAGCAAACATGCTAGATAAGTTGTGCACTCAAACCAAGCTGATCTGTGTCAGTTTTCTATATGAACCCACATCTATAAGTAGCCACATCTTAAACCGCAGGCTGTCACAGCATTTAGGCTTTTTGTAATAACTGCTGTGCATAAACATCAGCTATTTAACTTCTTAGTACAAAGCATTAGTGCTGAGAGTAGATTATTACTTTATTAGCATCGTCCCAAAGCCCAACCCATCTGCTACAGCGTTGCTCCTTCATAATGCTAAAATGAAACAACAAAGGTTCACATGGTAACAGTTTCCAGTATTATGGTTGTGTGGCCATAACCTGGGGAATAATTTTTTAAAAGGGGCTGTGCTGCCATCTACTGGTCAGCCTTATGCCACTATCATTTTTGATTATCCTTAGCACACTAGTTTAATGGGACATGGAAAATGGGTAATAAACTGTACGAAGCCTTACATGTAACTTTAGGGACACGACGCAGAGCATGGTGGGGGGTGGTGATGGGGAATCCTAACTAATGTGAACATTTGCAGCATTGCTGGCCAGAGGTAGCACTACCTCAGCAATATCCTTATACCTAAAAAAGGTATATAATATATATATATATATATAAGGGTATAGAAGCCCTGTGCCCAAGTGCTAAAAAAAAACAAAATACATTTTCCTCTATTTATAGAAAATAAATGTGTGACTATAAACATTTTAAACAAGCATGCCATTTTCCATAAATACTAACAAACCAAATTCAGTTTTGAGCAACACCTCAGGCGAACTACGGACCGTACACACTGGCAGAATTACCAAAACCGTAAAGCGGCTGACGCAGTACAGTTAATAAACAGAAGCAACATCTTGCTCGATCGTTGGTTTCCAGTAGTCGTTGGTCGTTACTGACGCGGAATCTGCATGGTAACTGAGCACAGTGATGGCAGGAGCAATGAAGTGATGATGTCACTCCTCTGGAATGCTGGCCTCCTGCACCGGGTAGCGTCCAGCCCAGCCAGTCTGTAATTGCTTCTTCAAAAAACAATGCTATCACACTCTGGAGGTGCTTTCAAGGTACTTAGATGAGATTGGGGAAGGCAATTAGTATTCATTTCCTCTCAAGGTTCCTGTCCAGCACAATGTGACAGAGAGCTGAGGCCCATAGTGGAGGGCGTTACCATTCCCTGCCTGTTACTGACTGGTTCCAGTTGTGTAAAACCAATCAAGTAACCAGCAGTTAATGCAAGCTATTATTCCCTCACAGTGGGTTTTGGAGTCTCGCTTGTCGCATCAGTACCTAGCACATTCTCACTATCGCCCCCTGCTGGTCACACCATCCCTGTGCGGCTCACTGTTGGATAACGTCAGCCATCGCGGCCTGGCAGTCGCGTCTTCGCAGCGAGCGCAGCCTGTTGTCCGTCGCCTTGCGGACGACCTGCAGCTCTTCGGGATCCAGCTCCTTCAGCAGCAGCAAGACTGCGTCCAGCACGTGCGGCTGCATGGGGAATGCGGCAGGTTGGGCGGCGAGGTGAAACAGGAGCCAGGCGCAGGAGGAAGCGTACAGAGGAGTTATTACATGGACAAGATATGCGGGTGATAAACTGCATAGGATGTGTTTGATTACTACACACATCTGAATATGCATATACACTCAGTGTGCAGGAAATGCAAGAATGCGCACTAATTACTTCTTAGTACAAAGTTAATGGATGCCGCTAACCCGTTTCCCCGTGTCCCGTGGGGAAGAGAAGGATGGAAATTTATCCCTGGGTATTGGTTTCATTCCCAGCTGCTCACGGATTTTACTGCAACAAGAAAAATTAAATTTCATCACAGAGATGTAATACTGATTAGCATTCACTGTTACAGGAAAGCAATTATAGCAAACTGATATAAACCAGCAACCATTTGTTCATAGCTCAAGAGGTGGAAATAATCCCAAAATTAACTGAAAGAGTCTTGGGTGCAGTAAACCCTCCAGCACATGATCACACATGTAGAGCAGTGTTTCCCAATCTGGTCCTTGGGGACCTGCAGACAGTCCATGTTTTTGCTCCTTCCCAAATCCCTGGGAGGGAGCAAAAATGTGCACTATCTGGCAGTGAGCTCGGAAGGAGCAAAAACGTGGACTGTCTGCAGGCCCCCAAGGACCGGATTGGGAAACACTGATGTAGAGCAAAAATGCAGTACAAGTGCCGAGCTGCCCCAACAGCCAAAGAGGGACGGGGGGAGGGGGCTCACTTGGTCTCCTCCATGCTGTAGTTGAGGGGGTCACTCTCGCTGTCAGCCTCTAACCCCCCATTGGCGGAGCAGGGTGCAGGTGCTGGGGGGGTGCTGATCTCCTCCCCTTCCTCGAGGGCCTGAGCCAGCTCCTCCTCCGTCACCACTGGGAAATACAAAGAAATGTGGGACCCACTTTGAACACTGGGAAACAGCGGAGGCGCTCAGGCTTTTTATACATACAATAAAATTACACAGCATTATTAATAATGTAATATTACCAATGGAAGTCAGAGAAACTGTAGTGATTTTAATTAGATAGATACTACTGTGAAGAATCAGTATGGTGCCATGACCTGACAACAACAAAACACCGCCCAGCACTCCAGTCCGGTCACCTTGGTTGTCCAGCTTGTGCAGACTGGGCAGGTTGCGCAGCACGGTGAGCCGGTACTTGGTAGGATCAGAACCACAACAGGGGTTTTCCGCCAGCCATAGCACGCGCAGCCGGGCCAGGTGCCGCAGGTAGGCCAGCTCCGCCAGACTCTGGATGCTGTTCCGTCGTAGGTAGAGCTCGCCTAGGCTCAGACAGCGGCTGACTGGCTCCAGGGAGCTGATCCTATTGGCACTGGATGCGGCGCAGATACGCAATCGTCAAGAAATTTGTCAAATTCTGTCCGCACAGCATGTTTAGGTGAACCAATGACTGAGTGACTGAAAACCATTTACAAAGCACTATGGTTCTTTTTTTTTTATATATATATAGTTTTAGAATTTAGTGATCAGTGGTCATTGTTGACACACCACAGCACACAGTGCACAACAACGAAATGTGTCCTCTGCATTTAACCCATATGTGACATCGTGACATAGCAGGGGACAGTTAATTCAGCACCCAGGGAGCAGTGCTTGGGGGCGGGGTTAAATAGCCCAGTCAAAGGTAAACTGTCCCCATCAATGAAACGGCTTGTTTTCTCATGAAAGATGAAAAACATACCTGAGAGTCAGCACTTCAATATTGGGCATTTCCTTGAATATGGAGATCTGGAAAAAAATCAACATATAAAAATTCAATTCAATTACTTTTATTAACAGACTCAGGTCCATAGATACACAAAAAAGGACAGATAAATATGAAAACACATATGAAGAAAATCAAATACATACAAACATCTCAGCCAATACACACTGGATGCATAACGGGAACAACTTACGGGAAAAACCCTGTTAAACATGTGATCGTTGCTGATTGGAATATATGTTCATTAACATGAAAAAAGTATGGAAACAATATAGTAAACACAAAACACTTACATCTGTCAGATTACAGCCCCTGCAAGAAAGACGACAGAAAGTTACAGTACGACGTACTAACTAATAATTTAAAGAGTAAGACTGGGAGAACCGAAATTATTGAAAGATAGTTCGCACACAGATCAATAATTATAACCACAAAAATATTCGGTTACACAGGGTTCCAGACAGAAAAAAAAATTTGGGAGCCATTGGCTCCTAAACCCAAAATATTTAGGAGCCAAATGTTTTTTTTGGGAGCCATAATCTCTACCGCATGCCAAATGTGAAATAAACAACTAATATTTACTTGTATTGTTTATTTATTTCTTTGGTCTACCTCACACTGCCTTTCCTTTCTCCCATCTGGGCTATTTCACTTGCCGACTAGTGTCCTCTGCAAGGTCTTATAAAAAATAATAACAGAAGAATAAATGACACATAAATTTGAACAGTGCTAATGTTTACTAATAAGCAATACTCTGACATTGTTGTGTTTCTTACTCTCACCATGCTTTTTCATAGTTTCCTTTTTAAAATGGCTCGTACCACAAATTAATTCTGTTTAACCAGCAATTTCTTGTCCGGCTTGCGCACAAAAGCTGCAATACATCTTTCCCTTGTCATACCGTAACCAAACGAACTCCTGTAACCAAGCCCCTTTAAACTGTCTTCTACGCGTCGGAGCTGCGGGCGCAGAACACTATGCTAACGGGACGGAGTTGTCATCCTTTAATAACTGTACATTTCCGGACGCCGGTGGCTGTACCTCAGATAACCCACTGACTGAATTATCTTCGGTTCGTTCAGAAGTAGACAAGGCAGGATTTGGACGAGTGGGCATTGAGAAAAACTCAGAAATTTTTCGTTTGGCCATTTCGCGTGTTACATGGAAACTTAGAACATTTCGCGTGTTATACTTGGAAAGTTAGGACGGAATTAGAGGAGTAGTCGTGGCCCGATTCTCTTCTATTTCGGATCCCTTATCGCAGCAGTTAGCGAGATGACATTGACCGAGCGGACAGGGCACTCGTAGATGGAGGGAAGTGGGCGTGTCAGATGATGCCTCCCTTCGGTTTGGTTTTAATCACGTGATAGTGTTATAGGTAAGGTAGACGCGGGCTGAGAGTGTCCGCACATAATTAAAAGCCGTTTCTGCTGCTTTAATTTTAAAACTTTTCTTAGATTGAGAGAGAGAGTCGCCACCGGCGACTAGAATGAAAAAACTAGTCGCAAAATAGAAAATCAAGTCGCATTGGCGACCATTTTAGTCGCCATCTGGAGCCCTGTTACAGGGAAACATACCCAGTGCGCTGGAATACGGGACAGGCTTAAAGCTGCTAGATGATCCGTGTTCATACATTCATTATTTAACGGGGAACTACACGGCTCGGCTCCAAATTACAGCTACTTCAAGCCGTATTCCTTTCATTACACCAATCAGCCTTGTCCCCAATGTTAAACACGAGTCAATCGGTTAGTTAAAGGCTAATGAAAAATCGCCATACGATCGCATTAGCTAGCTTACTAGCCGACATGCTACCTCAGTGAATACGTACCAGCAGTTCAGCTTTTTAACACTGTCGAGGTCCGAGGCTTTAGCCCTCGCAAGCACTAACTTTCGAGTTAGTTTCATCCTAATAGCAACAGATATGTTTTGTAGTTGTTGTTTAGTTAAGCTACAGTATTTTACCTAATTAATCATAATTCCAGCCCCCTTTACTTACACGCATGTAATCGTGCGACTGTTTATAAGTGAGTGCGCATGCGCGCTTGTTTGACCACGTGGCCTACAAAGCGTCAGTAGCAACGGTATGGTTACCATTTAATTTACGCACAGATAGTACTTCAACATATGCAGTAATTAGAGAATAATATAATACAGATCATTGGTAGTTACATATTTATAAAGAATGAGTATTTTATATTTATGGAAAATGCCAGAAAATAATATGATCCGATTAACATTCAATATATACTCGGTTTTCCACAGTTTTAGTTAACGTAGAGTTAAGCTTAACATAAAGCACACCCAAAACAAATCTTTTTCAAAGCATTCTTGAAAAGTGCCATAACAAACATCCACGCACCTATCAAGGCATCTTCCATTACCTCTTGTCCAGTGTACGGTAGTTTGACATCTCTGATCTGATATTTCCTTCAATACTTCAATGTTTAGGGCCCACCTGCCTGCACCCAGGCATCTTACATGCAGCAGAACCAGGGGCACATGACACTGCATGCATGCTTATGAATGCTGAAAGGTATGTAGCAACACCGGAATGCGGGCCGGGTGCAAGAATACACTGCAATACAGAAATATGAACTGATTCTTCATTCAGCCACAAAGCTGGGTGAATTTCAACAGGCACTTTAAACTGGCAACTGAGCAGAGAAACTGATACGAAAGCCATAAATCCCCTGTGTGATGCTAATTCAGTTTTGACTTGATAGTCTGGATTGGGAATTCAGCACTTAAACTTCAAACTGTGTTTTATTCTGTGGAGTAAATGCTAGGAGAGACCCTACAGGTGTCACTGGATACTTTAAATTTAAATTGTTGCTGTAATGTATCTGGCCGCCTGGAAACCGATGCCAAGGTAACGGATTTGGCTGTGGGAGAAAACAAGTTCAGCTAAACAGGTAAAAGGTGCCTTAAACCAATGTTGTCACATCAAAAAGTTTAGGCCACAGTAAGTGGATTTGCTGCTGAAAGGTGTAACCTTAGGCTTTAAAGAGAAAAGGTGCTAGTTTGGGCGTGATTTCGGTGACGGTTAGCACAGGTGATGGCAGCTCCATGGACCGTATCCAGAAGCACCATCATGCCTGAAAACGAGGGGGGCGCAGGCAGAGACACCAAACCAGGTATCTGCTACTGACACACTGCTGGCTTTATGGTCAAATCTGCACTTTGTAATGCTGCCACTGGCCCAGTTGTGATGGATACAGTGTAATTTCAGAAAAGTGCTTATGTTAAACGTTATGATGAGCAGACTGGATCTCATGGAGCAAGAATATTTGTGCTCTTCTCTATCATACAATTTATTCAATTTTTCTACTTGGAAAAACTGGATATGGGTCATTCTGTAATTGAGGGTACATTTCATGTCCATAGGATATATTTTAAAAGTAATTTTTGTGATACATGAACATATTTTAACAAATCATTCCATTATATCCTTTTAAAATCATATGTACTGTAAAAACTTAAATGAAATCCTTGAAAAACACATTTTTTTCAGCTGTCCAAGTTTGTGGAGCTCTATCTAAAGCTCTTCCAAAAACATGAAAAATTACTTATTCAAAAATCACAGCGTCACATGAGATTATGTAGTGGCCTCAGGAAGAACATTCTTCCTGAAGATAATTACTGCCCATGTCACTAAACACTATTGTACAATAATTACAAAAAAAAAACTGAGAACATCTAGGGACAGAGTCCCTTATTTTGCACAGGATTTATGTTGCCTTATTATTTTTTTGTCTATTAAAAACTAAGTATTATAAACAACAGCAAAACTGTTCAATTGTTGCAATAAAAGTGAGGGACTTATTTGTGTCCTGGGAAAATGGCAAGAGTGTTTGCTCCAGAAGAGCAGCATCAGTGTTAGGCTTGGCGAGGTGCTGACATGTTTGTTAAAAGATCACCAGAAGTGGAGAGAGTTGAGAGAGCAAAGGAAAGTCAATAAAGCGGCCAGACCTAACTGAAAGACAGATATATAGGCAACGGTGTTACTGGAGAGGACAAGCAGCAGAGCAGAGCAAGGAGGAAGCAGGTAGACGGTCTTATTCACCCCCACAGTGTCCTGAGGCTGACTGAGAGACAGCTGCACAAACAGCGTCATTAAGAATAGATGCTTAGAATTGTCATGGATAACGTTTTCAAACATTAGGACCACAAGAAACAATATGATCTAAATGAACAATCATTAGTGAGGAATATGAGATTTGAGGAATTCTAGTTTATTAATGTTCAAATGCGATTTCAAGAAAAGATTAGAAAATACCCGATGAGCATTAATGGTTGGTAAGTCATCAAATTCCCTTTGAAGTGACTGGTTCAAAAAAATAAAGTGTTCTAAACTAGTCTTGAGTCTGTCTTGTAAGTGCATAACATTTAGCAGCTATTTCAAATGGTGTTACATTAAAATAACACATGCATCACTTAACTGTAACACTATGTTTGGATCAAATCTAAAATAAGCAATTGAGTCTATGTGATTGAATCAGTGAAGTAAATTAAATGATTTTGAAACTTATGTTATGCATGGAATACACAGCTCAATAGCTTAAATGTAACATTATTCCCTCTCAGCTCCTGGGAGGGAACGAAAATGTGGACTGGCTGCAGTTCCCTGAAAACCGGATTGGGAAACATAGCTTTACGTAATCAATGCAGTCTGAATAAAATATTAATTATTATTTTTAAGAATTCTTAGCTATATGCTGCTTTTTGCTTTTTGATGTCCTGTCAACTACGCTAGTTATGTCAACTATGCTTCCAGACTGTCAGATAAGTTTCAATCTAAAGTATATATATATATATAATTACCTCCTGAACAAATCAATATCTGAAAGGTTTTAGAAACAGTAGCATAAAACCCTGAAAAAATCCTTTCAAATGTACATGTAGATATTAGTTTTACATGATAAAATGTGGAAGCCATTGACTGCTGATATTGAAACAAGTGGAGTGTAATCTCTCTAATATTTTTTTTCCAGTTTCTTTCATAATTATAATGACACCTGTGGATAGACAGACACATTACTTATCAGGAATGTTAAGTATTTTAATTTGTGATTTACAGTATGTTTAAATGTTCATCAATGCCTGTTTTTTTAAATAGCATAGTCAGTATATCTGTTTTTAAAATTTATATAAAAAATTAGCATCCTATAAGACTGGCAAACAGTAAATATACGTAAATATACCCCACTATTGGGTGCCACGTAAGAATATATATGCATTTTGGGGCAAAATAACTGCCAAATGTACCCCAATAGAAAGACACATATTAATATGAATCCAGTACATTAGCAGTGTTTTGGACCAAATGCAGTTTTAATGGTTTTTGTTAATGCAGTGACACCCTCAGATGAAGGGTTTTCCAGTGGCCTTATTAAAGGCTCTATCTTTCCACTAAACACTCTGCCATTCACATGGAGGAAATGTCTTATTCTGAGTTCAGCCTGCATGCAGGTTGATTTTACCTCACTTTCCAGTGCAGGATAACGGCTTTTCTGAAATGCTGCCCAGATCTGAGACCAAGATACACCCAGTAGAGTCTAATGACCAACAGAGGGCGATCCACTTGAGCCGACCCCAGAGCCACGACGACAAGGTGGGCGTCTGCAAAAATTAAACTGGTTTATGGTTCCTAACTGGACCCCTGGGGCTGATGCAAACTGCTCATCTGCTATGTGCACTAAAACAGGAAAATCCCATGAGGGGACCCTTGACCAAGGACTAAAATTAGATGACTAAAAATATAAATATTATGAATACAGACCCTCCTCTACTTACAAACTTTCAACTTAGGAACTTTCAAACATACAAACAAAGAGAATTGTAAGCCCAAATTCTGTTCATCGGGCTCCCGTTTCCTTTCCGCAACATCGATTTTTTTTTCTGCACGCCAATTCCGCCTGGTACGACATCTGCCCGTTAATCCCGCCACACAACATTTCAAGTTGTGAACAGCCGTTCGGAACATATCTCATTCGTAAGTTGAGGAGCGTCTGTATATTAAAGGATTTAATTGGTGAAGTTATTACATCTAATGAGATAAATACATTCTGTATTTCAGTGAAGCACTATGAATGTCTGCCCAGTGGGTGGCGCTGTGGAGCTGGGGACTTAAGCCCCGCCTCTGCTCTGTGTGTATACCCTCCAGAGGTGGAAATTTCAGAAAGTAAAAATCCAGACCAAGTTTTTTTTTTTTTTTTCTTTCTTTCAACTGACCAGTGGAGTATATATAGGTCCTCAGATGGTTTTTGAAACAAAATCTTGGTCTGGATTTTCATTCTCTAGATCTTAAATTTCCACCTTTGATACCCTCCATGTCCTCCCCGTGATGCACAGGTTTATGCTGGGTACTCTGGTTCATGCAATTAAATTAACTGGAATCTCCAAATTGCCTGTAGTGTGCGACTGTGGGCGCATTTAGGATGCACCCCTGGCTGGTGCCCTTCACTGCCTGAAACTGGTTCTGGGATCCCCACAGCCCCGAACTGGAAGATGGATGGATAACAACTCACAATACAAAATGATTAAGATCCATAACATTAAAAAAAATAATAATGCACTTCTCACATAATCCTAAATACCACATTATAGAGAGAGTGGGGAGGGGGGTTCCCCCCTAATAGGGTCTGGCACATGACACCCAAGCAAAGCATGAGACTTGACCCCTGTTTCGCACACTGGGTAGAAATACAAGCAAATAAAAAATGCAGTTTGCCAGCTCACACGTTCACCGGCTCACGAGTAAAATGGCCAGTATGCCAGCTCAGGCCTGCTAACAGTCAATACTCAAATTTCCCTCTGCAGATCATAACACATAAATGAGTGCAATGACCTATAATATTAGATTGCATTGCATCATGGGAAGTGAAGTGCTTATGTCATCCAGTATTTTCTGGTCATCGAGGAAGCTGGGAACTGATTCGGCTCTGTGATGCTAGGGGTGGATTAAAATAGCCTGCTGGCCCACAAATAAGCAGCAGTCAGAACTCCCCTGCGCAGGCTGTGCTCTGGGCTGGCCGTGACATCACCATTGCTGCAGGAGTGGATGCAGTTGCTCACTGCAGAGCCCCCCCCCCCCCCCCATCAGCACAGCCTGGAATAGTATCCACAGACAGAGTGCGTGCAGTCGCCGTGACAATGGGGGACGTGATGGAGCCCAGCTTTGTGCAGACGCTCGCTGCCAGCGTGACTCGGACCGCCAAGTATCTGTCCCTCTCTCCCTCCTTCCAGCGGTGTGCCTTCATGGCTTGGATCAAGGAGAACATCCGGAAGAAGGAGTGCGCCTACTACACGGAGGACGGCAGGTAGGAGTGCAGGGCGGATCGCGTGCATGATCCGTGTGCACAGAGCTGCACTTTCGTGACGGGATGCGGCGTGTTTACACGTGAAAGTCCTCATCACACTGAGAAGGTGCTACATGCCTGATTAATCTCCTGTGAGATCGTACAGCACGCCCCTTTCCTTCCAGCTAACCATGAATATAAAAGGTAAATGCAACCCTTGGTCCTGCTCACATAAACCGGTCACAAATTACCTCGGTGACGTGGCAATTTTCTCTGAAAGATGGTGAAAAACATTTAAAATGTATTTTTAATAGTCATATTTATCATTGGGGCATCCGCTGTGTAACGCACACACAGTATAGGACTCATTTAACGCTGCTTTTTCAGACTGAGACGCACGGCTTCCTGGTTACAATATAATTATAAAAATCCCGAAGGAGCCTTCACTGCCTGCTGACAGTATTTAAATTCAATAAGAGTAGAACTTGGGTTTTTAGATGTAAAATATGGTTACACAATAAAAGCAGGCATGCAATCTTACTTTTTGTGTAATACACAATATTACAACATAGTGGCTCAAAGTTCTTGAGCTGACAGCGGATCTTGCTCTAGCTAAAGGCAGAACAGACACTTGCCGAATTATCCGCGTTGCGGAGGACCGGAAAGGTAAAGCTTTGCATAGGGCCCCTGAGAAGGTTGGGCCAGCCCTGCTTGGCGCCACGTCCCATTTCCACTGTGTATGAAGGCTGCTTGGGCTCCCGGTGTTGTGCAGGTTTCGTCTGGGTAACTACAGTCTCCTCCAGCAGCCACAACACATGCAGTCAGACACACCGGTGTTCCAAAGTTGCCCGTAGTGTTTGCCCTGTGATGGACTGGCATTTCACGCTGGGCGTTCCCCTGCCTTGTGCCCAGTGTTGTCTAGGACAGGCATGACAAGAGACAAAACAACTGGAACACTGATATCTGTAGGTTCCATCACAGTATTAAATTACAAAGTCATTAATGCCCATAAAAGTAATGTGTTTCTAAGAATACATTCTTTAAAGTACATTTTCTCCCCTTTTCTTAGTACTCAGATCGATTACCCTCCCCCCCACCTGCCCCGCCACATGCAATAGGCAGAGCACTCAACAGTAATGCTGTTTGGCTGCCTATTGACGGTTAAATGCGAGACCGACTCTGGTGGCGACTGCCTTGCTAATCACTGAACAAATGCAGATTTTATTGCCAACCTACCCAATGATGTTCAGTTGGGCTCAGCATAAATAAAACATCCATCCCGCAGCAAGACGTCCCGGACCAATGGGAGAAATATTTGTCAAATATTATTTAAGTGCTTATATAAAGAAAGACATCAATAAGGCATGTAGAGTTATATTTTTTACTGAAAAGTACGTCAATTCAAATAAAATAAGTCGCATCAGTAGACTGACGTGCGTAACGCCAAAATAAATAAATATTATGCAATTCTACGTTGTAACATGTAAACAATTTCCTTCAAATGTAGGTCCACATATTCTCATATAAAGTAAAAGAGAATACAATTTTTTTGCAAACGAACAAAAAATACATGTAGGTCTATCTGGCCGTAAAGAATGAATGAATGAATGTGCAAAATAATGCAACTTTTAACTACGGCAGTGCGATGGGTTTGCCTGTAAACAGTTTACAGTGGAAGAACATCAGTAGTGATGGCACTGCTCTTGTCATTCCATCTTGCTGTGAAAAATCACCACTTTACACCACCTCTTTCGTGTGTTCACATTCAGACCCATCCTGAATTTGCAACTGGGGCGTGGTGTTTAGGGGGCCCACATGACGTGGGATTAATGAAATTTACCAGACCCGTGGGCATCACCTACATGCCCTACAACAGTGAACAGCCGCCTCACATCCCTGTATTTGAATTTGCTTAATAAGTACAATGGCTGTTTTCCGGGGCCATCCGGATGGCCTGATTGAAAAGGGTCGTTTACGGTAACCCTGTGATCAACCTGCCAGACAGCACACTATTACCCAGAATGACAAGCCGACGCTGCATTTTGGCCCGAAAGAAGCGGGCGGCCAATGGCGCTCCGTGATGCCTTACTGTTAGCGAGCCTCGCTGTCTCCTTCCTTCATAATTTCATAATTAATTACCTCCTTCTGCCGCAGACTTGAAATAAAAAAAAATGTGCATTCGCTAGAAGCCACCCCAGCAGTGGTCTCCTTGACCATCTCAGACTCATCGTCATTATTGTCATTAGATCTGCTTGGTTTCAGAGAAACCAAGGTTTGCTTGTTTGGCCACATCAGATTTCTCATGCTTGTTTCCCTTTGCTGTTATTGTGCGTGCTTTATCAGAGTGAATGAGGCGAACAATGGTTGTTTCGTTCTGCATATAGGCAAGCCTAAAGTCTACATGTTCATTAAAAAATGATGATTCATTCTTTTAAATAGAAGCACGTGAAAATTTTTGCCCGTTTTATGCAATTCACCAGACATTAAGACTGGAGAGATTTAAATTTGATGGACTTCAGCAGTTTTTCCTAGTTAAAATCTGATACTGCAGCCACTTATCTACTTGAGGGGTCAGCCTGCCTCAGGAAGTAGCACAGACAGAAGCCAGTCCATCACATGACACACGCATACACTGTTAATGCAACTGCATGTTTGTGGACTGCAGGAAGTAACTAAAGTACCCTGTGGAAACCTTAGCGAACCCCACACACAACAGGGGTGGGATTCAAACCCATAACCCTGTGGTGATGAGGTGACAGTGCTATAATCTGAGCTACCATGTTCCGAACAGCTTTTCTACTAATTATTGTTTAGTAATTTGCAGTCCTTCAGACACTCATTGTCTGTAATCCTGTGGTTCACCGATGCATTTTCTCCGACAGGGAGGGGGTCTGTAAGTGTGGCTACCCAAAGACTCACCATGTTGATGAGGCCATCAAACCGGAGGAGTTCCTGGGAGAATCATGGGACAAATACAGACACATTCGGGAGGCCCCCACTGACGCGTTCGGAGATATCAGCTTGGGCGGCCACAAAGCGGGAAAGGTACTCGGCCATTTGGTTCAGGAGCGTAATGCGAGTGGTGTCTCCTCCATCTCAGCCATTTGGTTCAGGAGCGTAACGCGAGTGGTGTCTCCTCCATCTCGGCCATTTGGTTCAGGAGCGTAACGCGAGTGGTGTCTCCTCCATCTCGGCCATTTGGTTCAGGAGCGTAATGCGAGTGGTGTCTCCTCCATCTCGGCCATTTGATCATACTGTAACTGCTGTTGCTCATGTGAGACAATAATGAAAGACAAACACGGATTCCCAACAAAGATCCTTTAGCCAAAAATCAGTAGGTACTGTAAAGCCTTTTTCTTATACAAAGGTCATTCACTTCTCTCTCCTTGTGTGTGCGTTCCCGTGTACCTAGTACATCCGCGTCTCCACAGACACCTCCTCTGAGACCCTCTATGAGCTTTTGACAGAACACTGGAGACTCCGCCCACCTAACCTCCTCATCTCAGTCACGGGGGGAGCCAAGAACTTTTACATGAAGACCCGCCTGAAGGAGATGTTCCGCAGAGGGCTGATTAAGGTGGCCCAAACCACAGGTACTGCTTATTTTGTCCCCTTGTACCATACAGTTACACAGAGGGCTGATTAAGGTGGCCCAAACCACAGGTACTGCTTATTTTGTCCCCTTGTACCATACAGTTACACAGAGGGCTGATTAAGGTGGCCCAAACCACAGGTACTGCTTATTTTGTCCCCTTGTACCATACAGTTACACACACTGTATCAGAACCACAAAATGCCTCCATGATGAATGTGTGCTTGGATGATGCCTCAGATGGTTAGAAATGATGGTTTGAAATGGTGCTACTGAAACCAGCAGCATCTTGACATTGTCCTGCAACAGGAGAGAATAATCCGAAAGAATTTTCCAGAAAGCGTATCCTTGCCTGCCTACCGCAGTCCAGCTTCATTGATGTATTAGGAATCGACTCCTTGCCCACGAGTTGGCAGGAGGATGTGAATCGGAAGTGCGCACATCAGCAATACTCACCTTCCCGGTCGTCGTGGAATTATGGCAGACTGCACAGTCATGTGACTAGAGGTCACCCAGAGGTCATCAGCGTTTGGTGCCTCCTATCCACACATGGATGGTGTGTGGTCTCTGTCTCCTGTCTAGGGGCATGGATTGTGACGGGTGGGACCCACACAGGTGTGATGAAGCACGTGGGCATGGCCATGCGGGACTACACTTTGAGTAGCAGTGCTTTCGATGCCCAGGTTGTGGCCATCGGCGTGGTCACCTGGGGAGTCCTGCACAACCGGGAACCCCTGGTCCACCCTGAGGTAGGCCATGAAGCTTCATATACAACCTTCCTTAGCATGATGAGATCTCGCCCACGTTGGCAGAGCTTCACGTACCTTCATGTGCCCGCTCTCTTCCTCAGGGGTGCTTTCCTGCACACTACTCCCTGGACGAGCAGGGACAGGGCCGGCTCTCATGTCTAGATGTCAACCACTCACACTTCCTGTTGGTGGACGACGGCACACACGGCCAGTATGGGGCGGAGATCGCGCTTCGCAGCCGTCTGGAAAAGCTGATCTCCCAGCAGCCCCTTGGACAGAGAGCCGGTATGTACCAAACTTTCCATTCTCCTGAGCTTGTCTTCCGGATTTCTACTGCATCTTCTGGAACTTTTCACTGTTGCTGTATCACGCACGTCTTTGGTGATTTGTTTGTTGTGTTTTGTGTCTCATACAGATGGCGGGGTTAAGATCCCGGTTGTCTGTGTGGTGTTGGAGGGGGGGCCAGGCACACTCAACGTGAGGCTTTGACCCTTCATTCACATTCATAACCACTTTGTGTGCTCTTCATCCAGTTTAATGTTAAAAACCCCCGTGGGTGATGCATAATGTCTACACAGACTATCTACAACGCCATGCTCAATGGCACCCCCTCTGTGATCCTGGAAGGCTCCGGACGGGTGGCTGATGTCATCGCCCATGCGGCCAGACTACCCCTGTCTCAGGTCAACATCGCCCTCATCCGCAAGCTGATGAAAAGGTTTTTCAGTAAAGAGTATGAGAGCTTCTCTAGCCTCATGATCATCGAGTGGACCAAAAAGGTGAGCCATCGTCTATACCCAAAGGTGGACATTTCAGGTTCAAAAAGTCCAGACCAAGATTTTGTTTCAACCAACCAGTTGAGTACTCTGTGATTGAGACTCTTTATACTGAACTGGTTGGTTGAAACAAAATCTTGGTCTGGACTTTTACACTCTGGACCTGAAGTGTCCGTGAGACAGTCCTGTGGTCTGTCTGTCCATGAGGACGTACAGATGGTCCTCAGGCTCCTCGGGGCATGACCTGACACCCATCTTCCCCTTCAGATTCAGGATATCATCAGGATGCCCCACTTGCTGACGGTTTTCCGACTTGACGAGGAGAAGCACATTGATTTGGACGTGGCAATCCTGCAGGCCCTCTTGAAAGGTAATCCTTAGTATGATCACTATTACAGATCAAAGTCAAACCACCCAGCTCACACCCACATTTAAACATGCACTACAATAAATGGGAAGCTGAATTAAGAAAACATGCTGCGAGTTCCTGTGAAAGTGAACTGAAAAGAAGTCATTTCCCAGAGGGCTGCACTGCTTGGAAATTCCTTCCATCCATCCATCCATCCTCTATAATATTTCTTCATGCATCGCTCTCTGTCATGTAACTGCAGAAATTTCATTCACCCACAGTGTAGCTAACAAACCAGGGGGCTGTCATTCATTATTTACTCTCATGTTTAATGGAATATTGTTCCATATAGTCCTTGAGTGTAAACACAATCAATGTAATCACAGTTAGCTTGGTTTTACTCCCTATGCAGTTATCTTGTCTTGGATGATGAAAAAACTTTTTTTTTCTTCCTATTTTCCTGCTTCTGTTTATCATTAACGAGCCTCCATGTCTGAGTTAGTCAGCCTCTTGTACGTTTGGAGCATGGATCCATGTTGTAATTTAGCCCAAGTGGTTTGCAGTGAAGCAGGCCATCCTGCCAGGATGTGTGTTAATGGAGCCTCATCCCCCCCCCCAGCCTCCAGGAACTGCGACACCCCAGGGCATGAGAGCTGGGAGCAGCAGCTGGAGCTGGCGGTGGCGTGGAACCGTGTAGACATTGCCAAGAGTGAGATCTTCACTGAGGAAAGCCAGTGGAAGGTGAGCTTTTTACAACTACCAAAGTGGAGATGCCAACCACCAGGTTTTTGCCACATTCTTCTCCAAGAAGCCTGCTAAGATACTGCATGTGCTTCTCATGGGCATAGAGCGTAGAGAAGATACAGGTGCCATCCACACATGCCAGGGAGGAGCAAGCAATCTCTGAAACAGTAGGAGATTACACCAGTGTGGCAATGGGGTGTAGGATACTGGGAGGAGAAAACAAAACACACCAGTAAATAATGTTCACTGAATTTAGTAGTATCTGAAGGGAACATGTTTGTTTGACAACCTGCGACCTCAGGGTAGATCCTGTATTCTGTGGGCACATTGGCTGACAGCACTCCTGTTTCTCTTCAAGTCCACTGACCTTCATCGGGCCATGCTTTCGGCACTGGTGGGCCACAAACCGGACTTCGTGAAGCTGTTTCTGGCGAATAACGTCAGCCTGAGAGAGTTCCTGCATGAAGACACCCTGTGCGAGCTCTACGCCCACCTGGAGCCCGGCTGCCTGTTCCTGCAGAGGCTCAGAAGGCGCATGAAGGCTGAGAAGGGAAACAGGAGTCAGCTGGACCGTCTGGGCCGGAGCCAGGTGTCCCTCCGGCATGTTTCCGAGGAGGTGCACCACTTCTTGGGAAGTTTCACCCAGCCACTCTATTCCCTAAAGAACCCCTGCGCTGAAACTCCCGAGGAGGACGTCTGTGTGACAGTGAGAAGCCACGTAGCCTTAAGACGTAACTCGATACCTCGCTTGGAGTAGGAATGCTCGTTCAATTTCTGCTCATGTGTTTCTTCCTAAAGCTTCAGACCAAAGTGTCTGCAGACCTCCAGAGTTCATCCACCGCTGATGAAGAGAGGGAAGCAGAGGCACTCAGGGACCCCGGAAGAGACTTGTTCCTCTGGGCAATACTGCAGAACGACAAGGAGCTGGCTGAGATAGCGTGGGAGCAGGTAGGGAAGCGGGAAGGTTAAGGCTGACGGCTGGGAATATAAGATGTTTATAAACACAGCTGGTGACATCAGTCCTGGGGCTGCGTTTGTGGTATCTCAAATTGTGGCCAATGTATCGGAGTTCAATGTGCACTTTAAGATATATGTCATGGTTAATTAACAATATGGTGCAGGGTGTTGGGAGTCTAAAGACATGCAGTTATGTGAACTGTTGACTGGCCCATAATGTGTGACTGTGCCCTGCAATGGGCGGGCATCACGCCTAGAGTTTGCCCTTGCATTGCGCCCTATGCTGTGTGGAATAGACAGGGGTTCCGGAAGCACTGCGGCCATGTGACCCCCGGTGTCATTCCACCCGCCTGTAGTGCAGGGACAGCCTGACGGCGGCGCTAGCAGCTAGCCGGATCCTGAAGAGGATGGCCCTGGAGGAGGATCAAGTGGGTGACGAGGCGGAGGAGATGAGGAAGCTGGCCAATCATTACGAGAGGCAGGCCATTGGTACGTGAGACGCGCCGACCTATAAGAGCATCCCGATAAGCCACAGCAACATGACATCAGCACCGCTTGCCTAAAGTCCTCAGCTATTTTAGCACCAGCTGGCCCAGGTTCTTCCCCACAAACAAACAGTCCTGCTTCTGCCCGTAGGAGTGTTCAGCGAGTGCTACAGCTGGGACGAACAGCGGGCCCAGAAGCTTCTAATCCGCATCTCCCCTTCTTGGGGCAGGGCCACTTGTCTGCGTTTGGCTTTGGAAGCTGATGACAAGAGCTTTGTGGCCCATGTAGGGGTGCAGGTAGGGGCATTCAGAGCTTCTTAACTGTGCCGAAAGGATCATGAAGGACCCCTCTCATCCTGTGCATGATCTGTGTCAGCTGCTACCCTTTTAGGTAGACAACTCAGGTCGCTCATGACAAAAGCAGAACTATTCAAGGACAGCTTCTTCCCCAGCACTATCAGGCTGCTCTACATCGCCTCCTGCTGGTAGTCACACATCACAACATTTAAATGTTTCACCAGCAGAGACCCCAGACAATCTGTTTGGACACTTCATGCAATGCATGTTATATGCAGGGCTGCAGGTGCATGAGGCACATATAGCCTGCCCTTAATATTTAATTTTGCTTCATTCATCCACCCAGTAAACAGACCTTTATATTTAAATTACTAAGCCCCTATACTGTATGCATAGATAGAAGCCGTCTTAATTGTGCCTGTATCAACTTCTTGTATTGCACTACTCATATTCGCACAAATTACTGTATAACATGCCTGGCATTTACTACTCTCTTGTGTATCATGTGCCTTGTATTTACTCTATCTGCATTGTGATCTAATTGTTAGTTATCTATTGTCATAATGGCACAGCTTGCTACTGTGGGGGACAACACAAATTTATACCAGCTTTGGTCATGTGGCAATAAAGATTTTGATGGCACAGGCTGGGGGGGGGGGGGGGGGGGGGGGGGGGGGGAGGGTGGTTCCTGATTGATCTGTCCTCCTACACCTTCCCTCCAGGCATTTCTGACCCAGACTTGGTGTGGAGAGCTAGCGATGAGCAATCCACTGTGGAAGGTGCTCTTGTGCATGGCCTTCCCTCTGCTTATCTACACTGGCTTCATCAGCTTTAGGTCAGGTTCGACTTCCTCCGCCCTTCTAACTCAGAAGCACTAATGCACGACTAAAAGATCTATAGAAAAGCAACATTATATGCTTTGGTAAATTGTTGCCACAAGGTGGCAGCATCAGACTTTATGTCTGGCATTAGAGACGTAGGAGAGAGATGAATGAGCAACATTACATTTATTTAGCGCTTTTATCCAAAGCAACGTTGAACTGAGAACGTTGGTTCTGAACAGTCCCTAGAGCAATTGGTGTTAACTGTTAAGGACCTTGGTCAAAGGCGCAATTGTGACACTGCTCCGTCAAACACGGGATCTGAACTAGCAAACTTAACAGGCACGGTCTGAAGTCACAGAGTCCCGACAAGCACAAGCACAGAAAACCCGAACTTGTGGTCAGAATCCTTACGGATTTTCGCAAATAGAAAAATGTTTGATGAAGGTGTTGTTACGTACTCCAAATGCATAAAACGTTCTACTGTATCTCATTTTCCATACAACACATTTACGATAAATTAATAAACAATTCAAAATGTTTTTATTACTGGATGGTATGTATATGCATATACACAGAGTGGGCATTGCGGTTTAATCGACTACCTTAAATTTATGGATGGACTTTCTTTCCCAGGCGTGACGAAGAAATCCTCAAGGCGTCTGAGCGGAAAAACAAGCTTAAAGACGCCGTAGCGGGCGCTCCGTCAGATACGGGGTGGAAAGCTCAGCTCCGGTGAGAGACGGCGGCAGTAGCTGATTAAACACATCAATCAGGCGCGTCCTGGGGCACCCGGCTGTTTCTAAGTGGCAGAGAGCGTCATTAATCTAGCTTCAGGCACCAAGGAGATTCAAGCACCCATTTGTAAGAACCATAGACGGTAACTAACGCAAATGGAGAAGGTGATAGGGTCTCTGTACGGTGTGTTTCTGCTCAGCACCCTGATCTAATGGAGAATATCAGCTTTCAGAGCTGTATTTCCACACAACGTGAATATGGGTTGTGACTGGCTGCAGTTTTGTATGTAGGCCTACCGTAAGTATGTTACTTTATATAATGATAAATGATAGCCTAACTGAAGAATTAGCAGATGGTGGTTGAATAATAATGTGCACGCACACCTCCGCTGAGGTATAGTCTGGTAACCCCTTTTCTCTTCTAAGCTTCCACTTAGATTTAGGTACCCAGAATGCCATACTACACGTTATCAAACAATTTACTATGTAACTTACCTCAGCAAGTGACTCCTAGTGATGCCAAATTAAGCTTCATGAACCATTTGCTGAATTTTTTGACCCCACTAGATGGTGCTCTTAGTTCACTATGGGGCAAGCTTTGAACCATTTTTGAACAGAGAGCACCATCTAGTCTAGTCAGAAAATACAGCAAATGGCTCAAGAAGCTTCATTTGGCATCACTAGTGACTCCAGTCTTTGACAGTTAAAAGTGAAGGAATTGTGAGGAAACATCTGTGAAATAGTGAAAGTGATTAGTTGCTGTTGTTGAAACGTCACGGCACACAGTGCACAACAATGAAATGTGTCCTTGGCATTTATGTGACATCCATTTTTTTAATTTTTTTTCCCCGTTTCAGACACGGGCAGGTCCACATGAACCTCAAGCCTCTGGACTGCATCTCCCGCCTGGCTGGCTTCGTTATGGCCCCCATGGTCAAGTTCTACTGGGGCATCGTGTCCTACTTCAGCTTCCTGGTGCTCTTTGGTTTTGTGCTGGTGGTTGACTTCCAGCTGACGCCCTCCTGGACGGAGCTGCTGCTGTACTTGTGGCTGATGTCGCTGGTGGTCGAGGAGGTGCGGCAGGTAAGCAGACCATCTACACACGTTCCGGTGAAGGAGTGGACCTGCAGACCCATATCCTGTAAGATTAGATAAAATCCACGGGGTGAAATCCGTTAAACTGTAGGCTAAAATCCAAGATAGGAGACTGCTAATTTCATTAGGTAAAATTATATTAATTTACACTGGACTTATTATATCGGTACTTTAGAATAAATTTTGTTTTGAATTATGATGATTTTAATGGTTTTATTGAAACAGAGTAGCACACAGGTGATGCAATTAATTTTGATTTTATTTGTATAACGCATTTTCACAACGTTACATTGTTTCAAAGCGCTTCATTTTATCCTGCCCAAGTTCCCAGTAAGCAAGCCAGAGGCAACAGTGGCAAGGAAAAGGTTCCTAGAAGGAAGAAACCTTGGGAGGAACCAGACTCACAGGGGGAGCACATCCTCCAGGGGCTGACAGAGGAAGTTAAATGAAAAAGATGGCAAAGCTCTAATTTACAGTCCAAATTTTAAGATTTGACTCTAAATGCAGAGGGCAGGCAGATGATGGCAGGCAGGTGCTGGGGCTGCATCTGACTGCAGGACAAATAGTGGTACAGCAGCAGGGCTGGCAGGAGAGACGTCACAGGCAGCGGGGCGGGCAGGAGAGACGTCACAGGCAGAGGGGCGGGTAGGAGAGACGTCACAGGCAGCGGGGCGGGCAGGAGAGACGTCACAGGCAGAGGGGCGGGTAGGAGAGACGTCACAGGCAGAGGGGCGGGTAGGAGACCCCTGCTTCTGGCAAATGGAAGTTTACAGCACGTTTTCTAACTGTACTGTTACCCTTCAAATTTAAGCTCTTCGATGATCCCGACGGGTCTGGTTTTCAGAAGAAGGTCAAGAGATACATCAATGACCTGTGGAACATTTTGGATGTGCTCTCCATTCTGCTCTTCACGTGTGGGTTTATTTTCAGGTAGTGAATGATTATCCTGGACTATAATGGGTGAGGCGTGAACGTTAACTTCATATGCCGGTACCACTTACAATAAGGTTCCATTTTGCCACTTATAAGTGGTAGTAACTCATTAATAAAAAGAAAATTGATATCTTATTAATAATTGTCTACTAATGATTTACAAAGTGTTACAACCTAATTAGTAGCCTGATTATAAACCATTCATTACCCCTTCATAAGGGTAGTCTTACTGTAAAGTGGCGTCCATATGTCATGTGGTTGATGTGTCCAGCTCTTACTAAAAGAGGAGTTACAATAAGAGCATCCTAATACCAAGAGGCTGGACATATGCTGCCTTTTCACTCCTACTGTACATCATGTTCTGTCATATTACCTTGTTTGTTCCACAGGCTGATCACGGCCACATTCTATGCAGGGAAGGTCGTCCTGTGCATCGATTTTATCATCTTCTGCCTCCGCTTGATGGCCATCTTCACCATCAGCAAAACACTGGGCCCCAAGATCATAATTGTCCGGAGGATGGTGGGTAGACGGTGCACTGAGGAACTGTGGAAGTTGTGGTTTAGGTGATACCGATTGTGTAAGAAAGGAACTGTAATGAAGAATATAAGAAAAGAAAAAAATAAAATTAGAATGATCTCAATCCCGTGGGAAGTCTCCAGTTTAGTGGAGTGATTCAAAGGGGTCCCCCTGCAAAATTTCTCACATATATATCCTGCTTACCAGGGGTGTGTTTCCCCAAAGCATAGTTGCTAACTATGCTAACTAACTATGTTAGCAACTTGCATAGTTGGAATCATGCATCTAAATGGAAGTTGCTAACTGCAGCTTTTGGGAAACATTTCCCAGACCAAACATGATGCAGCTGCCCACCTTTCTATCTCTCTCTCTCTCGGCCCCTCACAGATGATGGATTTGTTCTTCTTCATGTTCCTGCTGAGCATATGGGTAGTGGCCTTTGGAGTGGCCAAGCAGGGCATCCTGATCCAAAACGAGGACCGGCTTGAATGGATCATGCGGGGCGTGCTCTACGAACCCTACCTCATCATTTTCGGAAACGTCCCCACCGACATTGACCGTGAGTGAGACAGGTCACAGGGTCCATCAAAGAAAGACCATGTATTTACGCACATGGGCAGGAGATTAATTTATGGACCATGCAGCCCCACAAACCAGGAATTATAGCAAGGATCACAATCCTGGATAATAATAATTAATAATGATTACTATTCTTAAAATGGAAAAAAGTGCTTTCTGTGTGACATATATACACTCTACACATAGTATTGAGGATAAAGACACTTTTGAGCCAACCACTTTCAGGCTACTTTAACCACAGTGACACCTACTGGCAAGTGTAAGAACTGCGGCCCAGCCACACCAAGCTGTTGTTTCACTGAGAGGCTGGATTCTGTGGCTTTTAGGAGTACAGTTTAGCATGGACAGCTGCACCCTCAATGGCAGCGACCCCCTCAAGCCAAGGTGCCCAGTGCTAGCCACTGACCAGACCCCAGTCTTCCCAGAGTGGCTCACCATCATCCTCCTCTGCGTGTACCTGCTGTTTGCCAACATCTTGCTGCTCAATCTGCTCATTGCTATTTTCAAGTGAGTTCTCCAGTCAAGACATACATTTCATTTTCAGGTAGTAAGCACCCTTTCTCTATTGGCCACCTCACCCATACCCCATGCCCTGAGGGGTATGTTCTGGTCACATGACCCATGGTATAAACCTATCCCAGTACTTAAATGGATTTTAGTGATAAAATCCTATGTCTGGATTTTAGTGATAAAATCGGTATCCCATTACCACAATAAACAAAACTGAAACCTTTTTTTTCTGCCGCTTGATGATTTAATTAATTTAAAACTAGTTTCTTGTCATGTAATTATAACAAATGCTTCTAACAAACACCTTGACTAGCAAATCACTTACATGCTGGTTTTACTTGGTGATAATCTCTGCCCCTCTCCGCCTGTTCAGTTACACCTTCCAGGAAGTACAGGACAACACAGACTGCTTCTGGAAATTTCAGCGCTATGAGCTTATCAAGGAGTACCACAGTCGCCCAGCTTACCCCCCTCCTTTCATTCTCCTGAGTCACCTGTACCTCCTCGTCACTCGCTTCCTGCTCTGCCGTCCATCCAAGAACAAGCACAGGCAGTTCAGTGAGTGGTTTCCTGCACCCCCCCTCGGTAACCCAAGCCCGATACAATTTGGATTCCCGAGGGTGACCCCTTTCCCCCGTCCCTCTGCTTCCCCTCCATCCTCAGAGCAGCAGCTTTCCCGGTTCGAGGAGGAGGAGATGCTGTCCTGGGAAGCCCTCATGCAGGAGAACTTCCTAGCCAAGAGTCGGCAGGAGCAGAGTCAGAGTGTGGAGTATCGTGTCCAGGACACCTCTGAGAAGTACTTACTGTTGATTTGTCTAATTAAATATGAATAGTGTTCGGTTTGGGAATTGCTGCTTCACATATTTAACAGAGACCCTAGGTGACCTGCCTCCACCATATATAAGCTGGGCTGCTGGATTTGTTGTGATAATTTTGACATCTAAAATAAAATAGTATTTTCCATTAATCTCCCAGCTGCTTATCTAATAAAGGGTTATGGGGACACATGGGCAAAAGGCAGGGTGCAGCCACACGCACGCACGCACGCACGCACGCACGCACGCACACACACACACACGCAGGCACACACAGACAGACAGAGGTTTGTCATTATAGCTTTGTGGGGACTCTTTATCCATTTATATGGGCATAACCCTAATCCCTACTATGACAACCTTAACCCCTACCTAACCTTAACCATAAGTAATCAAACACGAGACCTTTGGCATTTTTAGTTGGTTGATTGCAGTCACTGATTTTTATAACAATGAGCCCCCACAATGTCAAACATTAAAGTCAGGAAAAACTATTTATTTTGTAAATATTACACTTATTTTATTGTCTTCCAACTGTGTGTGTCATGTGGCTCTTTTGGTCCAATCATGATCAAGTGATCATGCCTGCAGTAAAAGCTAGGTTAGTTCCATAAGCTCAAGATGGGGTGACCCAAATACTTTGTGGTTAATAAGACCCAGAAATATTTTCCCCATGTTTTTTATACACCACCCCCCCCCCCAAAAAAAAAAAAAATGAGGTAGAAACCGAAATATGGCTCAAGGATCAAGGTCTGAACTGAACCGTGGATTTGGAGAATCGTTAAACCCCTAAAAAGAGCTGACTTTCAAACACGGAGAGAACTAATTTTCTGAACCAAATTCCCAGTTTTCATTCCTCTCTGGAGTTTCTGCACCCTAAGCTGTGGTATTTGCTTTTAAAGTAATTTTGCTTTTCTGTGTAATATTCTGCCTGACTGCTGAGCTGTACCAGTCTGTGTCGATCCCTCCCCTGCTATAACCAGACCCCTGACGTGTGACCCGTAGGGTGGGGAATCTCGTGGGAATGCTGGAAGTGAACCACAACCGAGACACTGACTCCATGACGAAGAGGCTGGCTCGTCTGGAGGAGCAGGTGCATCTCTGGTGGATCCCGCCTATTCCACCAAGCACCATGTTATGTGTTGTGTAGCTGTGGGGCACCTTGTATTTATAACCTGAATCTATAACCCTTTATGTTTATGAGTACTCACTGGAATGTCCTTACCCTCTCCATGTATCTGAGTAATCACTGGACTGCCCCTACCTCTTCATGTATCTGAGTACTAACTGCACAGTTCCTACTCTCTCCATGTATCTGAGTACTAACTGCACAGTTCCTACTCTCTCCATGTATCTGAGTACTAACTGCACAGTTTCTACTCTCTCCATGTATCTGAGTACTAACTGCACAGTTCCTACTCTCTCCATGTATCTGAGTAGTCACCACTGTCTCTACCTTCTCCATATATCTGAATGTTCACTGCACAGTCCCTATCTTGTCTCAGTATCTGAGCACTCACTGGACTGTCCCTAACTTCTCCATGTATCTGAGTACTCACTGCACTGTCCCTCCCTTCTCCATATATCTGAATGTTCACTGCACAGTTCCTACCTTGTCTATGTACTGTATCTGAGCGCTCACTGGACTGTCCCAAACTTCTCCATGTGTCTGAGTACTCACTGCTCTTTCCCTGCCCTGTCTATGCATCTCAGTACTCGCTGCACTGTCTATACCCTTTCCATGTATTAAGTATTTACTGCACTGCCTCTCCTTGTAGCTATCTTCATTTAGCACTGCACCTGTCCCCCACCCCCCAAATGAATGCTCAGTTCTTGTGTTTAATGTGTAATGCTGCCTGTCTCACAAGCCCATCTAGATCTCGTGGGTCTCATTCTGCCGCGCTGCAGGTCTCACGGTCGGTCAAGGCGCTTTCTTGGATAATGAATGCACTGAGGTCACAGGGCTACGCATCTGAAGAGGAAGTGCCTTCACTCAGTGAGTCCCTGCCAGTCACTTTAGTGCTCTTTATATTCCCATAAGCATTAATACTTCATTATGCTTGTGCCTCTGCGCTGGTACTAAAAAAAATATCAAAGTTCAGGTATCAAATTTGCTGTGGGAAAATCCTCTCTAATGTTCCTCATTCCCCCTCCTCCCCCGGACCATCCTCTTCCCCAGCCTCGCAGCGGAGCCACATGGAGACAGACCCAGAGCCAGCGAACAAGCCCACCGCCGAAGGGGCTCCGTGCCACATCAAGGCGCGGCATCTCCACTACCCTGGTAGCCAGGTCACCCGCTTCCCCGTGCCCGAGGAGAAAGTCCCGTGGGAGGTGCCCGCCGCCGCCCTCTGATACCCACATGGTTGGACGAAGGCCCAGTGATGCTCCTCTGCTGGAGGCTTTATGGAGGTGTTACTTCTCCTTCACTTGCAGGTGGAGTTCACGCTGTACAATCCTCCTGTTTACAGCACCCAGAGGACCACGGACAGCCGAAGGAAGGGAACACCGCCAGCTGGAGAGTAAGTGCTGGTTGTGTGGGTCTGTGAAGCTCTTCTGTCTCAAGAAACCATCTGTTACCGAGAGACTCCCCTCTGCAGCCAATAGGAAGAGGGTAGAATGACATATTAAATGCTACTCCAGCCTACACCTGATGGTGGCCATGGATCAACCATGAAGTTGGGGATTTGTGTCCGTGTCCAGGAGGTGGTTGGGTCACATCCCGTGGCTGATAGAATAATCATATCACCAGTGTTCCCATTAACCCCCACTACTCCAGGAACACTGGTTGACCCCCACTTTCTGATCTTCACTTTGGATAAAAGCATCTATAATTGCCTATGTAAATGTTACTCTTTGGTAAAACTTAAGAAGACTGCTTTTCTGATCAGTGACTGCAGCATTTGTCTTTTTTCTTGCCTGTTTCCACAGCTCTGACGTCGCTAACTTACAAAAGTACAGGTTAGTATCAGACTTGAGCTTGGCTGAGCATCGCGGCAATCCGCCTTCACGGCGGCCAGAATTTTACCCAATGTCTGCTTCCAGGAACCCGGGAGGAAGGACTGGGCTGATGGGGAGAGGCTGTCTGGACCAACTGGGCCCAAACCAGATCCATGACCCAGTGATCACACGGTAAAAGGGGAGCTCACGTGCAACCATGAGCTCAGGGCGGGTAAAAGGGGCCTTCAGGGGGCAGATGTGTGTGACGCATTGCCTCCGATGTTCAAGCTGGTGGGATGGAGACAGCCCCACGTTGGAGTTCCTGGCCGTGTGGGAGGAGTCCGAGGGACGCTGGGCGATACCAGGGGTGAGTCTGACCCGCTCATCCTGCAACCTCAGACCACCTGCTGAAATGAATGACTCACTAGATCAGACTTTGATCCAGCTCAGGCTAAAATGCTGTGTGCAAGAGCCTAAGTCACAGAATCAGCCAATCCTCTTTTTTTCCACCAATACCTCTATGCGTTTTACGTAAGGTAACTCTAGAGGTGTGAAAATGTTAAGTTTCCAGCTTCAAGGACACCCTTGTAAAGCACTCGGGTATATACAGTGCAGGCATTTGGTCACGGCCTAAAAAGATTGTTCTGGTTGAGAATGTGAGGTTGTTCAGTTGTGCCAAGCGCAATATGGTATTTCCTTCAGGGACTGGTACATTCAGACGAGATCCTGCCAGAGAGGCTGGAGAGGATTCTGGGTAAGAAGCTGTGCGACAAGATCAAAGTGCGAATGGCAGAGGACACCCGCCTGCAAACGGTAAACTCAGATTCGCCCACGTGGCTTCAGTCATGACCACAACATTCACGATATTACTACTCCTTTGACATGCATCTAGGATGAGACACGTTCCAGTCAATACCAACAAAGAGAAAGGGTAGCAGTACTGTAAGTAATGTGTGCGATTGTGCACATGCATGTACACCTTCTGCGTTTTGAGGACATGGCCTAAAGAAGCCAGTCTTTACTGTGTGTCTAAGGACACACCTACTTCCTTGAATGCAGACCCAAGTGAAAAGACATGCAAAAACTGATCTCGATCCACGGGTATATCTAAGAAGAAACAGACATTGAGAACGATTAGTGAGTTATTATGGCCTGTATCACGGCTGATATACATGGCTTGTCTCGTCTTGAATGCCTTGGAAGCTCCAAACATTGTAACACATCACGAGCAGCTATTAATTTATATACATTTTTTTATAAGCCTTTGCATAATCTTTTTACACAGAGCCCCTTCATGACCCAAAATGCCTAAAAAAGCTTTAGATTCATGCGCATAACATCAGGCTAAGACCAACTGTCACTGCAAACCAGAGCGGAAACCCCACAGGAAGGGAATGGAGGAGAAAACTCCTGGTACTTTTTAGAGCTAAAAACCTCTAAGGTGTCAACAGCCAACTTGCTGGGTGCCCAGGGGACAGTGTGACCCTCTCAATAGCAGTAGAATGGTGCTATAATTCTGTATCAGGTGTACAAGGGATACGTGGATGACGACAGGAACACGGACAACGCCTGGGTGGAAACGACTGCCTTCAATATACACTTGGGAAGCAGCGCGTTGCTGGACGAGATGAATCAAACGGTGAGAGCCAGTCTGATGCATCACCTTCAACCAGACAGACAGGCCAACTCACAAGCAGTCAAAGTCTCAGAAGGTCACAGCTTGCAGATTAAGTGATAGATGGTAACTGAAGATAATTAGACTGGGTTCCCTGGCTTTGTGTGTGTGTGTGTGTGTGTGTGGAGTTTGGATGTTCTTCTAGTGTTCATGCAGGTTATGAAAAATGAGTGTCCCTAAGTGGCCCTCAGTATCTGAGTATGTGCCCGGTAGTGGACTCGCCCCCCCCCCCACTGAGCTCTCCTGGGATAGGCAGGAATAGGCTCACTGCGACCCTGTACTAGATAAGTGGTTATGGTAGGCCAAAGAGGAAGCTGTACGCTAACGCCCCCTGCTGTTTCCCTCAGGTTCAGCGCAGATTGGTGACGAAGGAGTCCGTGTGGTGGAGGGAAGTGAGCAGCACCGCGCTCATGTGCGCCCACCATAAAGAAGTCCTCCGCCGTGTTGCCGAGCTTCACCAGGGGGCGCCCTGACCGCCTGTCCGTCACACACAGCACTGCCACGTCGCACACTAACGTTCATTGCTTGCGGCCGTAAGTCAGTGGGTGTGTGGCCGTGTGCCTTTCAGTACGCCCCAGTACTCAACCCCCACCCTTCCCAGAAAACTAAAGAACAGCATACTCCATCCAAAAGACCTTGCCTGTCATCTTCCACCGTGTTACCTCGACTGTGCTGCGATTGTTCTAGATGACATCATCCCTACATGGGTAATGGTGTGATTTACACTGAAAGGCAGCCAGCCCCCTTTTAGCCCGAATACAAGGCCCACAGGGAAAATTGGTTCTGAAGACCCAGTGTTATGTTTAGAAGCTTTCATCATATATGCAATGACGTCTCCATACCCAGAAAAGCTGAACTATTATAGTGCTTTTCTGCCACACCAGGTACTGTACTTTGGTATGGTACTTTCTGTACTTTACCTTTTCCATTGGTTTCCAGCCGAGTACCAGCACCAAAAGTTCCAGTACCCAAAGTACCACACCAGCTGGGGTATGGGGTACTCTTTTGGTACTTTGGTGAGGGGCATGCAAACGCTTTCTTTGCCGATTGGTTATGCAAATAGCCTGCCACTGAAACACAATACAAACACCATCTTGAAAGAAGTCACGAACTTAGAAAACAACGATAAATGACGTTGACAAATGAAGAGACCCAAGTTTTAAATGCACTCAGGTCAGAAGAATCAGAAGAAGATCTAGATGGCATGACAAGAAATAAAGAAGTATTTGGTATAATATACTAGGGCTACACAATATTGGGGAAAAAAATAAAATATCGTAATATGACTTTGTTGTAATAAATATTGGGATATTTATAAAGCAAATAAGGAATTCAAAATACATTTCTCATAAACACGTCAAGGAGTGATTTAAACAGCAAGGATGAAAATGATTATTATGATTATTTTTTTTAAACATAGGTAATCTGGAAAAGGAACATTAAAAAAGGTCATTAAAATTGCAATGCTTGCTAAGTTTTGTTTCCCATGACTAAAAAACCTGTTTTAGTGAAAACTAAACCCCCCCGTGCTATAATGTCCAGACAGTATGAAGATATGAAAAAGCATGGTCTCAGTCTAGCTGTCGTGGTCCTTGCAATGTGGGGACTGCATATGCATAACATGTGATGTTAGAATTAATATCACACATCTCCCAGCCCTATAGTATTATAATAGCCTTTTTTTCAAATTCAGCACAAAACACCTGCCTCGCGTTGTGATGTCGTTAGCAATGGGACCAGTTTTTATGCCAGTGGAAAACCAACACTTTGAAGTACTATATTAGTTTGGTACCTGGTGCAGTGGAACAGCACCTTTAAACATTGGTGTACACTGGTGCCACTTGTGTGATAATCCTGTCAAACAACATTCTACTATGTTGGAGGAAGATATTCAGATTAATTCAGCCCTCGAATTTTGGGTTCGGTAGGGTTTTAAGGAATAGATTTTCAATGAATGAATGAATGAATGACATTAATACAGCCATCTTCAAGACACCCAAAGCGCTTTACAGAACCAATGGGGAGCCGCTTCAACCCCCACCACTGTGTAGCCCCCACCTGGATGATGCGACAGCAGCCATTCTGCATCATTTTAATCAACACCTGCCCAAGATCACAAAACTAGCTGACTTACTGCCTGGATCATGACTCCAATAAAATAGTTAAATCCAAGGCTGAGGAAAACCCTGTCTGCAAGACTCCAAATAAACACCAACACAGTACTAAATGCATCTTTTACATTATCTAAGTATTATAGCAGACAACTGAATCCATACAAAGCATCTAGCAGTTCAGGTCCAGAAAGTACAAATCCAGACCAAGATTTTGCTTCAACCAACCAGTAGAGCATAAAGTGTCACAGACACAGAGTACTCAACTGGTTTGTTGAAGCAAAATCTTGGTCTGGATTTTTACTTTCTGGACCTGAACTTTCCACCTCTGGGCAGAACTCAGTTTAGGTTGTAACCTGGCGCAAGTGCCAAAAGGCAAAGCATCTGGTGCAATTAAGACCAGGAACCTGCTGGTTTGCTGCAGTTTCAAGCTGTGTTTATAACTCAGAAAGAGCACAATGACTTTCATTTCCCAGTGTGGGATTATACTGTCAGTTTGCGTGAGCTCTTTATGTGCCAGTGCCACCCGTAACCTGTCCTGCTCACTTTATGTCACTTCAAAAGCCTGCAGCTTAGTGGTTGGTTATTTTCCAAATACAGAAGGTCAATGGTGACCAACATTTTGTTTCAACCAACCAGATGAGTGTAAAGAATCACAGTCACAGAGTACTCAACTAGTTAATTGAAACTAATTGAAATCTTGGTCTGGGCTTTTTGGACCTGATAACCAGGGTTATTGCAGCACCTATAGCAGCTAATGGAGGGGCACATATGATCGATTTTTTAATGTATACACCATTTCACATAAGGTGCACCCATTTTTATACTTTTGCCTTATATATATGTTACTTTTGAGGAAGTTATATAGTGAATAGACATAATCTGTTTGTATACAAATACAGTAATTAACATCGCCTATTGTTTTTGTATCACTGGAAAAATGTTTGGATATTGACCACTTAAAAATCACATTCGTGTGAGTTTTTATAATCCATCTGTCTCCCAAGCATTTATCCTGGTCAGGATTATGGGGGCTGGGGCTTATGTCAGACAGCACAGGGCACACGGATGGGGTATGCCACTGACTGTTCTTGTAATCTTACTGATAATATATGCATACACAGATATATTCAGCTTATGGTTATCCTGTTCGGGACAGTGTGCTCTGTGCTCCTTTGTAGTAGACCCCACGTGCTGTGCTATTTGTCTCACCTGTATGTCACTTTCGACAAAAGCCTCTGCTAAATTAATAACTATAAATGCAAACCACAAATATCTTCAGCATTCCTCACGTCAAAACATCCCCAAGGTACTCTGGTACATCATAGTATGATCAACCTCGACTGATTTGATCATGACGGATCCCGGGATTACAATGGTGATGGTACAACTATAAATAGTACCAGGGGAAAACGTGGAAATACGATGTTTGCTGTTTGTTATTGTGCTCTAGGTTTCATGTACAACCTGCTAATCCTGTTCAAGCAGCTTCATAGTCCGGATTCTGGAGGATTAACACAACCACTGCTCGTGTGCCACATGTAGGCTTATTGCGTACGAAGTTCCACAGTAAAGTGTGTCGTGTTTACATTTACATTGTTCCTGTGTCTTTGTTGTACATAAATGAAATACAGATTGTGTGTATATTCCAGCAGAAATAAAAACGAGCTTTCATCCAGGTTGACTATCAATTCTGGGGTGTTCCGGTCTCTAAAATATAAATACCCTATATTTAAAGTATCAATATCCGTTATACATCCATTTTTTTGTATTACTATATCAAATTAAATGTTGTTAAATGTTGTTTTAGCTCTAGTCCAATTTTATCTCATATAATCCAACATAATGTAATGTAATTTAGGCTATCTTGGTTCTCACATTAAACCAAATTATTAAACTGCCATAAAAACGTATTATTTTACCCATATAAAAAAGAACGGTCCCTCAGTATATTTTAAAGTATATATTCTGTCACAAAAAAAAATGGTTCGTCAATAACTTTGGATACACGACTGAAGCAGCCGGCTATACCTCCCGGGGTACCCTGCTAAGGGGGTCCTTATATGTCGAATAATAAGAATACATACGGATAAGGCTTCCAGCACAGCCATACAGGTCCCGCTAATGCGCGCGCCCCAGCACCCCGCAAGCCGCGCACGCGGCTCACCTGACCAGCATCCGTCAGCCGGCTACAGGTGAAGGCCACGCCCACCCCGGAAGTGACGCGGACGCTCACGAGCTCGGGATTAGACCACAGGATTAGAATCAGACCGGACGGCCGAAGCACAGCTGAGCGTCGTATCCATGAGACGGTACTGCTATTTGACATTTCGTTTTATTATTCCCGATTATTTACGTACGAAAGCAGGCGCGGACTTTATGTGTGCTTGTTTTTGCGGTGTGTATGAGTGGTTTTGTTACTAGCGAGGTAATAGCGCAGCTCGATGGTGCTGGTTTGCAGGACACTATGTCGCGGCTCCTGCGCTGCAGCCGCGGGGACCTTCGGATGTCCGCCGCTTTGACGTGGGTATGTATTGCAGGGGGATGCGGTTAAATTTAACAGCCCGAAACAGGTTTTAAAAATGGGTTGCGTAGTTATGCAACAGAATCTGGATGGATTTTGGCAGCCTCTCCTCCCGGGATGAGTTTGCGGTCGTTTCGGTTTTGAAGCCGGATTTGATTATTAGATCATTAGCGATATACTTGTTTTTTTATTCGAAATGCTATTGCAGATGTATTATTTCTTTTGATAAGGTGCAGCCAACGATTCATTGAACATCAATGGCTGAATTTGTTTATTTGTTCACAATATGGAGAGCTGGACATGTCGTTACAAAGCGAAAGGTGACTTTTGCATATTCCTGGCTATATCCATCTCCGGTTCCGTCCAGTCATTTTATGTTGCGGTCATTATATAACAAAATCGGGTAGCAGATTATTTATTTTCTACGCAATGCAATACCGAAGCAAAACAACTGCAGAACAATTTGATGATCTTAATGATGTTAACGACTGAGTGCACTTCTATTTTGTAATTTTCAATCAAATCATAGTCGGATTCGAAAAGAGAGCAGGAAAGGGCAGTTGTCTGAACATGGCCAAGGCAATTCAGGATTCGTTAATTGCCTTAATGTTTGATGTGCTCTGAAATTATTTTTATGTCTTGTAGATCCGATTTTTTTCCAAACAGTAGTGATGCGTTGGCATCACTGTGCTGCGTTAGTTGATGTATGTTATTAGCATCCCTTACATATTCCTTATTTGATCAACACCGGCATTCTGTATAGTATTGGAAGGTAATATTTAGTGATATCAAGCACTGTAGGATTTGCGTGATTTCGCATGTGCAGCTTAATCCTCAAAATTTTGTGCCTTTTGTTATGGCTTCAAGGAATCATTTTAGGGCCATATATTATGAACTGTTCCCACAATTGAAAGGAAACAATAGGCTACCTTTTAAGTAAATAGGTTAAATTAAGGAGAGCGCAACTAAAATGAACTCGTTAGTGATATTTTTTGAGACCCCCTTTTCCAGTGAGGACCACACATGTGATGCTTTTAGCAGCAAATAACGTGTTACTTTGGACAGCATTAAGCAGATGAGTTTCCCAATCTTATGGCCCCAGGGGAGTCTCTCGTAAGGGTCATGGCCCTTAGGCTGTGTAACCCATATGTGAGACAGTTTGCTCAGATGGGGAATAATATGCATTTCTCTGGCCACAGACGTGCGCCAAAATGCCTCTTTTAAACCAGGTTAAATAATGTCCAGAATCTTATTTCAGCGTTTTGAAGTTCCAGGAAACTCCATTGCTATGGGTTACGTTGTTCACCGTTACTAATTGATGAAGAGAGGGGCACGATTCCAGGCCTGAGCTTTCAGTTTTGCTCAGATTTCATGCTATGACTCTGGAGTTGGGTTGGGCTATTGTTGGGGGAATCTTCAGAGTTTGATAGCTTGCATGAGGTACTTGTTACCAGCTGCCTCTCCATTGCCAGGCTGCAGACCAGGTTTAAAGACCAGTAAGGCCAAAGTGAGCCTTTGGAACATTGTGTGTTCAGACTCCCTTCAAGCATGTATACCAAGACCCAGGATCAGAATTTGGGATCAAAGCCTATCCCATTCACCTTTATGGTGGCTGCTTCTCACAATAGCCACCCCTTAATTCAGGTTTAGTTAGTAATTGTTAGCTGTGTCCATGCTAGTGAACAAAGGGAGCTTGACCCCAAACCCTCAGCTTGCTTCTGTGGACCTTCCATGAGATACTGGGTGACAGGCAGTTGGGCAAATTAGCCAGATGTGGCATGTTGAATATTATTCTGGAATAATGTGCAAGAAACTCTTGCAGCTAATCCAGCATTGGATCAGTATGATTTTAACACGATTCTTCCTGACAGATATTGCCTTGTATACATTTTCTATAATCCCAACCCAGTCTAACTGCAAGAGATATGTGGTAATCTTGGTTCTTGTTTTACCTGCCATGAGACTAACTGGTCTTCAGTGATCTCAGTTCGGTGTGGTGTGCTGCCCGCCCACAAACCTGTGTTTTCTCAGTCTAACGGGCATATTTGCACTGGGACCTTGAACTGGATTTTTTTACATTGGGGTCATAAATATCCTTTAAATAACTTTGCCACCAGAACATAATCGAACGAACTGCAGAGCAGCGTTAAGGACCTCTTACTTCTTAGGAATGTGGGCCATTAAGAACTGCTTACAGTGGTAACTCATTAGCATCGTTGCGCCAGCAAAGTCAAGTATTCAGCAGAAACCCTTTCAGAACCAAAGACTGTACCATCTGTGCCAGCCTTGCCTTGAGCCAATCGAAGAAGAATTGGAAGTAGGTGTTGTCAGTCAACCTGTAGGGAGTTTCGGGTGTTGATGCCGTCCACTGGCGAAAGTGAATATGAGAAGGAGGAACCAGCTCAACCTGTCCACAGAATGCTGGGATTAACCACCTGCCCTGGTTTCTGTAGGAAGGTTCCAGCTGCCTAACAGCGTGCTGAAAAATCTTTGCTGCGAGAAGATGGACAGAAAGCGGTTGGTATCATGTTCACTTACGATGCACCTGATACCATGGATAAGCATTAGTTCCATCTCAGAATCTGTCACCCTGCAAATTAGGACTGTTATCTTTGATCCTCAATAGCCTGTGGTATATGGTACCTAAAGTACTTTGCTGTATAGTTTGAGTTTGGTTGCTATATGCTCTTGCCGTTGAATGACGTGCTGCCTTTCAGTGAGGGATCAGCTTACAGAACAGTGGAATAAAGGTCAGCAGTCAGGTACAAAATGACGCTTGGTACAATGGTTTGATCTTTCAGTCCACTGGTGTGAACATTTTGACTGGGGGGGAGGGGCATCTATGTGATGGAGAACTGGGGGTAATGGAAAGGTCGGTGGGCCATGCAGTGCTGACATGGGGAAGGAAGCCATGTTCAGATGAAAGCATAGCATGTTGGGAGCAGGACAATATATAGCTAATACCCTTTTGGAAAGATGATACAATATTTTTATCCTTGCAACGTCCGAGTTAACAGGATTCTGACAGTACACCATGCACACTTCTCATACTCTGTATTATTGTGGTGTTCATGTAAGAGTAATTTGCGAAACTGTTGTGTGGTCTTACATTTTCCTGTGGCATGCGGATGGCATGCCGACTTCACTGTCTCAGCTGGGACAGTTTTGTTATCATTCCACAGTCAAACCATTGACTGTGCTGGTCCGAGCTTCAGTCTGAATTTTTGAGGTTTGCATGCAAGGTAGCTTGTCACTGGGTTGTCTTCCCAAGAATGGATCCCTCCTGTATCCTCAAGGTTTCAAACACCAGACCAAACTGGGATGTGAGGATGGGTCTTTACATGCTTTTGTGTATCCTGGGGGATTGCTAGAAGCACGCTCTAGGAAGTATTGGGATTAGGAAGTGCTTGTGTGTTCTGCTTGTCCTCCCAGGACTTGCGTGTCCCTCACTGTGGTGGCCAAGGGACGCTTACCAAGACTGCTCCACAGCTCCATGCAGTCAGCACTCACTGTGCAGCGAGGGGACATCAAGGATTTCGGGTGGACCAAACGTGCCAGTGTGAACCCATGAATGAATGGCAGCTGAGTTCCCAAATGCCCAGGGGTCACAAAGCCTTGTTTCACTGTTGCAGGATGATGTACTGACAAGCGATGAGGGACTCTTGGGGTTAATTTGCAATTGAGAACCGGAAGTCAATAATGGCTAATGCTGTCCTGACCGTATAACCCAATTCTCCTATTAGCCTTACTCTATGGCTGGAACCCCTATAATCATAGTCCTTCATGGTGATGTGTGGGTGCTGCTCTGGTCCTTTGTGTTTTAAATGGGAAATGGACAGGTGGGTGGTGTTGGACGCCTTTGGCCATGATGCTGGTGCCTCTGTCGTACCCGTTTCTTGCTCCAGTTGCTGCCTGATGAAAAGGTGTTGGCCTTTGTTGCCTACTAGAAATTCTTACTCGCTTACTCACAAGGTCCCTGCAGTTGAAGCCCTGATAGGGAGTCATGTGATTAAGGGGCATGACTTCAGTGTTCTCATAACGCCCCGTTTCTTTAGCTGCCTGCTTCTCCAGAATCCTGCCCATCTGTTGTATTTTGCCAGCTAAAGGATGTGCACTTACTGTTACACATTACAGCTTTGGAAACAGCAGCTTTCCTCTCCTGCAATCACTCTCTGAAAGCTATGCCACTCTCGTGGTCATACGAGTGTCTGGGAACGGTAAGCACTGCTCATGGCCAGGCCAGGCTGATGGCAGCTGTCTCTTGCCCAGTCGCAGGGGTGGTTGGGGGTGCAAGACACAGGAGCTGTCAGTGTATGTGTTTGGCTTCTGGTGAAATAGTGATGAGGCAGTGTAATGGAGCCAAGGCGGTATGTCTTACAGCAGGAGCCTGGAGAAAGGGCCGAATTAGGCACTGTCTACAGGAAGTCCTCTCCTAGCGCGCGTACACACACACACACACACACACACAAACAAACTCTCTGGTCATGTGATCCCAACATGGAGCCATTTACACGATGTGGGGAGTTTCATCAGAGCTTGCGTGTCTCCTCCTGGTTACCTCTCATGCTCCCTGGTTACATGGCCTGGACGGCAGGTTACTGCTGGTGAAATGAATCTTGCTGGTAAAGATGCTGGGAAGATGGGAGTGGCCAGCTGCCTTTGTTCCTGGCCCACTGTGCCTCCGCATCCCGTTTCAGTGGGAGCTACCGGCTGGATCCGCCTCTCACCATGAATAAGTTATGGTGGTCTCGCCTGTGGATGTCGGAAAGAGCCTGTGCACATCTGCCTCCCCCCTCCACCCACCTCATTTTCTGCCAGCCGTGACTCTGGACCTTTTGCCGGAGCCTCTGCCCCCCTCCGACCAGCCCCCCCTTCCAGCTTAAATTGTCTACCTCAAAAAGAATGTTTGTGTAATTTGTCTGTTTTCTCTGTGCTTGTTTCCTCTTGCATTCCAATAACATACAACAAGGCAAATTCTGAGATGCCAGTTGCCTGGCGCATGTGTGTCTGTGCCCAGTGATGGGTTGGCACTCTGTCCATGGTCTGCTCTGCCTTGTGCACTGTGCCTTCTGGGACAGACTCCAGTCCCAGCATGACCCTGAACTGGGTAAGCGCTTACGGACAGTTCAGTGGATGCATGCACTGATGGTACAGGATGCGCAGCCGTTTCCATCCAGCTCCATTCCTCCTGCAACGAGTGTCTTGAAAGTAGCTCTGGATGAAAAAAAAAATATTAGCTCACGATTTTAGCAAGTATTAGGATGTGACAAATAACCAGTTGCGCTCTGGTTTAAGCTGGAAAGGTTTTGGGCACTGAACATATACATGTGGTGATTGCAGGTCTCTTTTTTTTGAGGATTTAAGCAAAATAAAGTGGGGTGGGGGGTGGGGGGGCTTGGGTGATCAACGGGCAGAAAAATGATACAGGCATTAGGCCTACTAAATGGGACACAGTTGAGTATGTCCTGACCTGTCTAGAGGAAACTGCCTATCAGTGTCACAAATGGCAGATGATGGAAGAGGCTTGTCACTTGTCTTCTTATTGGCCTGGTATGGTCATGGCCTTCCCAGTTCACAAGACATTGGATGGGGTTGAAAAGTTCACCTTGTCCTGGATTGACATGAGTACAATTTTAGAGGAGAGCGAGTTGTTTTGTTTTTTAGCGCGCGGTCTAGTGTTTTGCCTCTTGTTTTCTTTCGTTGCTCTGGCCCCAGCCTTTCCTGGAACAGTCTGGCTGTTTGTTTGCACTCAGCTGACCTTTGGACCTGCAGGATGGTGTTGAGCCAGGTATGTTCCCTGCTGAAGTTGACGGCGCCGGGCTGAAGGTCTCCATCGGTTCCGGGTACAGGGCCGCTCAACCGAAACCCGACGGCTTTGCCTCCCCTTGGTCGCTGGGAACTGCATTTTTTTTCAAGCTCTTTTTACAGCCTCAGGGAAGGGAACTGGCCACGTCTGTGGGGCCTCCATCTCCACGTTTATCTGAGTAAAGGCCGGAGAATCGGCATGCCTGGGCGGAGGCAGGTAGGCGCGGTGCATAAGGCTAATCAGCTCTCACACCAGATGTTTTTTCCAGCATTTAATTATTAATACGCCGACATTTTCATCCAGAGTGGCTTTTCAGGCTAGATGTCATACTTCACCGGGTTGGGTAGTTTTACCCTGCTCAGGATACAAAAGCAGGGCCTTTTTTGGGGTTAACCTTTTCATCTGTGTTCTTAGCTCTCTGTGTGTGACGACCCGAAGGCGGATTGAGCTTTTGCGTTTTTGCAGCCGTTTATGCATGTGGGCATGTGGGTTATTCGAACTCCTGGCCAAAGGACATTATGGAGATACTGCCACGAAACAAACAAAGCTTGGATTTGCATAACAAAAAAGATTAAAAGTGTGATTTAAAAAAAAAATGAGACCGAAATTGAGTCCATGGAAATGCCCCCTACATGTGTAAGTGTGTGTGTGATTTCTGCTGTAGGCCACCTGCCGCTCGCATTGCCTGCGGTGCTGATTTGCCACGCTCTCTTCTCAGCGGTGGTACCAAATCCAGGGGATGGGTCTCCCTCGGCCTTAGGAGAGGAGCATCTGTTCTTAGCTTCCTAGAACACCCCCCCCCACCCCCCCCCCCCCCACCAGCTCGGTCTCATCTTGGCGGCTGCTCAGCAGGGGTCTCCATGTGTAGGTCTGTGTCCCTGCTTTTGTTTGGCTAGATTTATGTTTCCAGAGCGGGGCGTCAAGCTCTGTTCCTGCTGCTATTTTGCTTTATTAATCACCAGATCACTTCCAGTATTTTTTTTTTCTTTTAATTCTGTATTTATGCTGTTTTTTTTTCTTCTTTTCTTCTTCAAAGTTCACGAGATTTAAAGAAAGCAGCTATTTCATGGATTGGCCAGGAAATAAACTCTGAAAGCGTGTCTATTTTTGGAGAAAGGTCTTCAGACCAATTAAGGCAGGATAATGGGTAGGAATGAGGCCCAGCGGCCGCAGGGCCTGCCAGAAGCCTGCCTTTGTCTCTTTCTGGAATCAAGCTCTGCTGACAGGGTCCAACAACGCGTCACCCTCCCGGTTTTGGCTGCCCGACGAGACGTGTGAGCATGGGGAGGGGGGGGGGGTGAAATTCAGTGACAACAAAACGGCCTTTTGTGCATAATGTCACAGCAGCGCACGGTGTGTTGTCACGGGGATGTGTTAGCTCTGCAGCGCCGTGTCACTGCAGTGGGAAGTGCGCGTGTCCCTTTGGGGCTGCGGACAGGCCTGGGATCAGTCTGGGAGAACGGACTGGTTTGTCTTTGCCTGCTTTTCAGTAAGGGACCGTTAAATCAAAAACGTTGGGGTTTGGGGTTTGGAGAGACCAAAATGGGGACTTAAGTGACAGTAAAACTAAAAAATCACCTGAAACTTTAATAAAATTGATATTAAAGCTGGGAACTGGGTGAATTCTAACTAATTGTTCAGTACTGTTTATATTTTTTTGCATGGTTAAATTTTTCTCCCTACAATTCCCAGCTTTGGGTCATCTGCTGCTTGGGAGCAAGCCCTAATTACATCACGCATCGTATGTTACATGGCAATGATGGTGAACGCATTTCTGTCGGTGTGGCTGATGCGCCGCTCTGGCCGGCGTTAGCCTCCCACGGATTTTCGCATACTGTCGTCATCCTGTGAGCACGGCCCCCCCAAACTGAAGGTTCTGCCTGGAATTACAGCACCTACAACAACATCGATGGGGATCTTGACTTGGGAAGAAAAACGGCACGGTTTAATGCAGTCACAGTTATTTAGTCTACACAGCTTGAATGTATTTAATGAGCTAATTTCATCTGTCACTAATTATAAACTTCTCTGCCAAGTTATTAATAGCCTGCAAATAAATCAAACACAAATGAAGGAGGACGTGAGTTCCTTGGAGATGTGTGAGGCACACTGGTGTAGTTATAGTTTAAGTCCAGTTAAATTCATTCCTCTTCTCCACATAGAACGCAGCTGCTTTCTGCCCAGTGACCTCCGCCCTTGTAAGGGCCACAGGAGAGTCAGGTGTCCCTTTCCGAAAAATCTTCTGAGCTCTGGCCCCTTGCCACCGGTTCCTTTCCTGGCCAGTGACCATGACCCTCTGTCACTGTGCCTCCTCAGCAGTGCCTTTGTGGGCCTGACATGGTGGCGTTCTTGGAGATGTCTATGACGACCGGCTCCGTCACACTCCAAAAAAACAAATGTATACAATTCTATTTGTCTTGCTTTATACAAAATAGCAACGGGGTCTTGTGAATCAGCCCCCTCCTCTTTCGCATGGGGGGTGTTTCTCTCGAATTGGGGGTCCCTTTGCTACACAGTATGTCCTGAGCTGGAAGCACAGGCTGCATTGGCTCAGACTCTCAGGGGACCTGGCAGGAGCCCTGGCCTTCTGTGTCTCCATCCTGCTTCTCTGTCTCCATCCTGCTTCTCTGTCTCCTCCTGTTTCTTCCACGTTCCTCCATGAATAACCTCTTGATCCAGGTTCTTTAGTGTGTGCTGGGGGCCCATGGTGTATAGAGATTAGGGCCTCTCTACAGTGTGTGTGTGTGTGTGTGTGTGTGTGTATGTGTATGTGTATGTGTATGTGTGTGTGTGTGTGTGTGTGTGTGGCGAGGTGGGGGTGGCACTTGGTGGGATTTCTGGTTTTCGAACAGCTGAGCCCGTCTTCCAGTTCAACATAAAGCGATTTAATCTGATCCTCGGATGCAGATAGAGTATCTCCGTGACCAATTGGGGCCAGTCAGTGTGTGTGGGGAGGTGGGTGTTAATGCTCCGATGTTTGGCCAGCACCCGCCCCCCTTCCCCCCACTCTTTGTCCATTTCACACCTCCCCCGTTCTGTTCCTCTGTGGGAGAGCCCCTGATGCAGAGAAGCGTCACGGCGGACCAGGGGGGGCTGGTCGGAGGGGGGCAGGTGGGCGGCTCTGACGTGTTCCGCTGGCGTACGTCACATGATGCATATTTCCGAGCACGCGGGGACTGCCGGCCAGCCCAGGAGAGTGACGGGATGGACTGAAAGTGTCCTTCTGATTTATTTTTCTCGTCATACGATGGCGCAGGGAAGCTGCCGATCCCGGCCGTCAACACAGAAACGGGTAAAAGGCATTGAGGCTGCGGTCAGATGCTGACCCTGCCCCCGGTGGGCGGAGCCTCTCCTGGCTCCGCCCTCCCTGCTGCACTCGGCCCTCTCGCGGACCAGCTGGTTCATTCATGAAAAGTATGACGTGAGCGCTGCGTGGATCCGTCCTCTCTCTCGCTCTCTCTCTCTCTCTCTCTCGCTGGCTCGTTCGCTCCCTCTCTGCGCTCAGACGCGGCCGGCTCTCAGCAGGAAGAACCTGCCCTGCTCTGTCCTCCTCCTCCTCCTCCCGTCCTGGGCCGTCGCCGTGGCTTCACTGCTCCGCCGCGACCGTGCGTCTGGGCTCCGTCGGCCGTGAGTAATGCAGCGCGCCTGTCCCGCTGCCGGGGGTGTCTGAGCGGAGCCAACACGTGTGTCTGTGTGTGGGTGTGTGTTTGGCTTGTGACTCCTGTCTTTAATGGCTGTCAGATGGTGTCAGTGCACTGTGTGTGTGCACGCTTGTGCGTGTGTGTATGCATGCATGCTATTTTAAGCTTCAGTCAAGTCACTGGTGTTTCTGTCGGTAGCTGTCCTCTGAAGGATGGGGGGGCGGGATGTTAGCTGTTCTGGGGAGGTATGGGGGGGCATTTTGCTGCTGCCGCCAGCTGATCCACGTCAAGGGCAGTAATGTTCTAGGGTGCGCTGATTCCTTTTGTCTGGATTGCAGACACATTACTTTGAGTCCCCCCCCCCCCTTTCCAGCTGGGCCCAGTCAGTCATGGGGGGGGGCAGTAGGCTCATTTGCATGAGCCCTTTCCTCGGCACGTCAGCCGGGTCGCACCGGAGACCTGACCTGTGTGATTTCCATCGGAACAGGGCATTGCTGGGCTGGGGGATTGCCTTTGTGTGTGTCTACCTATATCCATCCATCTGTCCATCCATGCCCTTATCCATCCATCCGGGCCTCTCTTGGACCGTCTGCCAGCCCCTGCTGGCTAATGGAGGCCCAGCATTGATTTCCAAGCACTTGCCCAGCTAAGGTTTCCCAAGCTGAACGTTTGGGCAGAAGCACCCCCCTGCCCCACCCCCGCCCAGCTCATTGGAGCTCCACGTCCCAGCGTGGCGTGGTGTGGCGTGGCCTGCCCCCCTGTTATGACTGTGCTTCACGCATCTCTGTAAAGCCCCCGGATCCCCCCTCCCCCCTGCGAGGGGGACCGACAGGCAGTGCCATTCAGGGGGGGCTGCCGTCTCCTCCTCCCTCTCTTGTGTCCTTTGTTGTTGCTCTGTGTTTTTTTTTTTTTTTAAAAACCTTTTAAAGCTGCAGCAGCGCCTCTTCCAGCTCCCCTCTCCTTCCCACGTCTTGCTCTCCCCCACCCCCCAGGTCCATCTCTCTGCTCTCCTTTCCCAGGTCCATCTCTCTCCTCTCCTCCCCCAGGTCCATCTCTCTCCTCTCCTCCCCCAGGTCCATCTCTCTCCTCTCCTCCCCCAGGTCCATCTCTCTCCTCTCCTTTCCTCTCCCAGGTCCATCTCTCTCCTTTCCTCTCCCAGGTCCATCTCTCTCCTCTCCTCTCCTCTCCTCTCCCAGGTCCATCTCTCTCCTCTCCCAGGTCCATCTCTCTCCTGTCCTCCCCCAGGTCCATCTCTCTCCTCTCCTCCCCCAGGTCCATCTCTCTCCTCTCCTCTCCCCCCCTCCATCTCTCTCCTTTCCTCTCCCAGGTCCATCTCTCTCCTCTCCTCTCCCAGGTCCTTCTCTCTCCTCTCCTCTCCTCTCTCCTCTCCTCTCCCAGGTCCATCTCTCTCCTCTCCTTTCCTCTCCCAGGTCCATCTCTCTCCTCTCCTCTCCTCTCCCAGGTCCTTCTCTCTCCTCTCCTCTCCTTTCCTCTCCTCTCCTTTCCTCTCTTCCAGCTTCATCTGTTTTCTTCCCCCTTGCTTCATCCTTCCTTCCCTCCCTCCATTCCCTCTGTTTGATTTTGTCGCTGGCCACCCTCCCCTATGCAGTGTGCTGTTTTTGGGGCTCCCTCACACCCCCGCGCTCTGTGGGATCCAGCCGTCTGCCGGTGAGGCCCGGCACTTGGGGAGCGTGACGTCTCTGCGCCGGGTGCTATTTTTATCTTTGTTTCTTCAGCACGGAGCCGTGCGTCAGCAAGTGCGCGTGTATGTCTGCAGTGTGTGTGTGTGTGTATGTGTTTCGCCGCTTTACCCTTGCACAAGTGTAGAGGTGCGTGTGCAGTGTGGTGACGAACCACACCCACTAGTCTCCTGCCTCCAGCCCATTGGTTCAGCCACCTCTGCCGTGAGCAGCGTCATTGCATTTAAAGATGCATTGCAGGATGGCAGCGTGTGTGTGTGTGTGTGTGTGTGTGTGTGTGTGTGTGTGTGTGTGTGTGTGTGTGTGTGTGTGTATCGGGCTGTCTCTTCCTAAAGTGGCTTTTTTTGTGTGTGCACACTTGGTTAAACTGTGGGGGCATCTGGAACGTGGACTTGCCTCACACTCTGGTTCTAGCCACACTCTGGTTCTAGCCACACTCTGGTTCTAGCCACACTCTGGTTCTAGCCATCCTGGATGCATTCGGTGTCGACATCCTAAGCGTGTCATCGGGGCCGCTAAGAGGCCCCGGGCCTTGCTGCAGAGTCGGCGCGTTAACGCCTGACTGACTTTGTTTGGCATTCTGCGTGCTGGGCGATAGAGCGGCTCCGAGGAAGAGACTCCATGACGACAGTGAACAGAATGAAAGCCCTGAGCTTCATCTCACCACCCTGGTCCTGACACTCAATGCAGGGGAGTGGCTCTCAGTCAGGGCAGGGTGCTTACATACCGCACCCCTACATAACCCTAACCCTGTCAGCCGGGGTCGCCTATGGGTCATGCAGATCAGGACCTCTAAGTTTCAGGGACTCCAAAAGTGCTCCGGATACCACATGTGTCAGCGCTCCACCGGGAGCTGGGAAGCCTCGTCGATTCTGTTTTTATTTATTTATTTATTTTTTGCAAGTTATTGCTCAGGATGCCCTCAGCAGCCTGCAGACCAGCCAGCCTTGAAGGTCCTGTCTATGTTTTATGTGCATCTTCTAGCTGGAAAGAGGAGACTGTTCACTCTCACTCCTACTGGTTCCTGTAGGAACTGGGATGTTTCTGACACTTTTTTCAGGTCTGAAATATTCAGTAAGTTTTGTATGAGTCTTAAACACTTATTGGAGATCATAGTCTGTAGATCTGATGCCAGTACAGGGATGGTCTGTGTCCGGAAGACTTGTTCAGAATTTGTTGGCCTGTCGGACGTTTACTGTGGTCTTTGTGACATGATGGAGACATGTTTCACAAAACTCCAGTGGGGGACTCGCCCTTCCATGCACCCCGGGTCTGCACCCAGACAGCGCTGTGTCAGAGGCGCGCGCTTGCCGGAGCGGGGGGTAGGGTGGGGGTCAGACATGTGCCAGAAGGTCGGGGCCAGGCCTAATGCATTGTGGGATACAGTGGGAGTTAAATTGGCCCTTTGTCACAACAGCAGCTGTTTGTTTGGGAGTGGGCACCCTCAGGGTACCCGGCAGGACCTCTGATAATGAGACCTACAGCCGTGGGGGGTTGGGTGGTTGGGGGGTGGGTGGGGGTAAGGGGCGGGGCCTCCTTTGTGTGTTTACATCCACTTTCAACCAATTTTATTTGCTGTGAGATATTTATAAAACCACATGTAATGGTGAAAAGAAAATGCAGATAAGTACAGCAGAAAGGGAAAAGGTCTGCGCAGAATGGGGATATCAGCAGCAGAAAGGGAAAAGGTCTGCGCAGAATGGGGATATCAGCAGCAGAAAGGGAAAAGGTCTGCACAAAATGGGAATATCAGCAGCAGAAAGGGAAAAGGTCTGCGCAGAATGGGGATATCAGCAGCAGAAAGCATCGACAGTGGAATCGGCCAATCAGAGGGACTTCTCGCGTGTATTCGCCCGTGCAGGTTTTGCGTCAAGGCTGGAAGGGCCTCAAACACAAATGTGCCTGTGCAGCGTGGCGTGTCTCTGCTGGTGTCCGATCCGGGCTTTTCCACCGCTGCCGTGAGCCCAGTCTGAGGTGCTTTTCCCAGTGAATTTCCCATCTGGGTTAGATCGTCACGTGCGTCGCGCTTTTAATTAAAGGAAAAATCTGCATGGCAGATTAAATTGTCTGATGGAGTAATTAAGAGTGGTGATGGGTGTAAAAACAGTGGAAACGCCCCCCCGGTGCGGGCAAAGCCATTGTGCCCGGTGAGGCTTGCCAAAGCCGACGGGTTGGACCACAACAGCTGTGCGCCGGGGGACTCTGGCTCACAGCCAGCCGGGCCATGCTGGATTTAATGGGAGCACTGGGATTGCACCTGCCATCAGATGGCCTTGGGCAGGGCCTTTGTCGTAGGAACCTGATCTACTTCCCAGCAGATCGGGATAGTGACAGTGCGGCTGGAGGGGTGACTCGGTCGGGTCACAAGGCCGCGTGTAGGAATGAGAGTTCAGCCCTCGGCTGTCCTTTCGCTCTCTGCCTTTCTTTAATTCTCTCTGTCCATTCTTCCATCCCGTGTTTCCTCTCACTTGCCCCCCCCTCCCCAGCTCTCATTAATCTTGGACCTCGTAGGTTTTCCGCCCTTTTGATCAGTACTTGGCCACGTTCCTTGAGGGAGAGGGTGGGGGGCGTTTGCTCTAGCGCAGGCCTCTGGCCCCTTCAAATGGCGATCAGTGGGCTGTAAGGGACACCACTGGGGCGATTGGTTTGTTGATAAGGCCCAGACATTATTTATGGGAAAACAGGCGCTGGCTCCATCAATAATTCACCCTGGCCTCTGGATTAAAGTTAGCCGACTGCGCGGAACCTGCCGTGGACATGGGTCAGGCCCCTGTCCTAAACTCCTTAGCCATGAATGGCAGAGCAGAAGGGAAACTGACAATCTCAGTTAATTAAGACTTTGAAGGTTGCAGGTTCAAATCCCAGAATGGGGGGAGCACTGTTGAACCTTCAGGCAGCTATATGAAACTTAGGGGTGTAGTGTGCACAGCCTGGTTAAGGAGATGGAGTCTTAACCAGGGGGTTGTTGGTTTTGGTCCCTGAATATGCCTTTGTTGAACTTATTTGCGATGTCCGTAAGGTAGAAAGTCCCAGTAAAAAGCCGGGCTGTAGATATGTGTGAAATGTGTAGGTCCAAGCAGTGTCTCCTGGGTAGAAGTGTCAGATATCCTGTTGCACGTAAGTTATTTATTACAAAGTGTTTGCCTGGCTCCTTAATAAGCTCGTTAATTAAACATGTAATGTGGCCTCTGTTCCGGGGTGGGGCTGTCGCTTGCTTAGTGCCTGGATGCGATTCACCAGGGAACTTGCTCCTGGACACACAGACTCGTGCACAGGAGGGGGGGGGGGTTGTGGGTTGCCAGGTTCTGGTTGTGGAATGTTGCACCTTGCAGGTGCGAATGTAGCTGGAATAGACCTTTTGGTGACATCCACATGTGTCCTATTAAATGCTGTGTTCATATATAAACAGGTGGCAATGAGCTGCTTTGTTCCCCTAAATAATGAGGAGGCCTTGTTTAGTAGCAGACCTGGTCCACAGCCGCAAGCTGCCAGTTAGTTTCAAACACTGGGCAGTGGGCACTCTGCCATCATCTGGGGTTTCATAGTCTTTTCTTAGCACGACATGTTCTTTTGTCACCTGCATTGCTCTTTATCTCTCCATCAGGCACCGATGGGTGGATTTGTACAACCTAAAAATCATGAAATCTTAAAATTCCACTTTAAAGGAGGATCATTTCGACAAAGTAGTGGCCCTCTGTGCGTGGCATAAATCAGGGCCCTTGCTTTTCAGTAGCGCCTGGGTCATCGGCGTGGGATGTGTCTTGGCCGTAATAGTCGGGCCGACTCGTGTGAAACCTCATTTGAGGCAATGGCCTGTAAACGCATGGATTTAGGACAGGAACCTGGCTGGTGAAGACCTTGGTGAAGCTGGCATCTTGCCTCAGGGTGAGCCGCACTGCAGGGTCCCCCCCCCCCCCCCCCCCCCCCCGTGTGGGCGGGGGGCGGGGGGGAAAGGGGGGGGGGGGGACTCAAAGTAATGTGTCTGCAA